CTTCTCTCTCTCTCTCTCTCTCTCTCTCTCTCTCTCTCTCTCCTCTCTCTCTCTCTCCTCTCTCTCTCTCTCTCTCCTCTCTCTCTCCTCTCTCTCTCCCTAAACTTACTTGGCAAAGAATTCCTTGTTTCTCTTATTTCTCCCCTCCACCCCCCACTTTTAAAAATATCTATATCTTATTGATGTTTCACAGAGAGGAAGGGAGAGGGACAGAGAGCTAGAAACACCGATGAGAGAGAATCATGGACCAGCTGCCTCCTGCACGCCCCCCACCGGGGATGTGCCCGCCACCCAGGTCCATGCCCTTGGCCGGCATCGAACCCGGGACCCTCCGTCCTCAGGCCGATGCGCTATCCGCTGAGCCACACCGGTTCCGGCCTCTCCACCCCCTCGGGTCCCAGACTTTAAAACAGCAGGAAGGACCTGTGCCTTCAGGCTGCGGGAGGGGAAGGGCACCGCAGGGACCAGGGGCAGAAGAGGCCAGAGCCAGGGACAGGAACTCACTCAGGGGCATTCGGGCTCCTGGGAGGCTTTCTGCAGGGCTCAGCCATCCTGGGGGGATGAGGCGAGGGGAAGGGGTGATGGGCAGAGCCCCTTTCTGCCTCCCCAGAGAGGGTGCGGGAGGAGTCCCGGGGTCAGCGCCTGGCCAGGCGGGGAGGGCCCAGGACGGACAAAACTGTGCATCTGCTGGCGGAGGAATCGCTATGGCCGGTCACTTCCTGTTTCTAGATTCCTGTCCTGATAATATTTAAAAAAAAGAAAAGAGAGAGAGAAAAGAAAGAAAAAGGAGGTGTACTTGGGAGCAGAGCAGTGTCTGATGGGACACTACAGCCACCTCGCCAAGGGGTGGGGTGGGGTGGGATGGGGTGGGGGGAGTGGGATGGGGTGGGGGGGGTGAGATGGGGTGTGGGGGGTGGGATGGGGGGGGACCTGGCAGAGGGGAACCCCCGGGTCACGTGGCCACAGTGGTGTCAGGCTCACATCTCTTATCTGCCGGCAGAGAGATAAGAAAAGGACTCTGTGTTGAAAAAAAATAAAAAGAAAAAGAAAGAAGAAGTCTCTCCCTAGGTTTCACTTTGTTTTGTTTTTTTAAATTAAAAAATATATATTTTATTGATTTTTTACAGAGAGGAAGGGAGAGGGATAGAGAGCTAGAAACGCCGATGAGAGAGAAACATCCACCAGCTGCCTCCTGCACGCCCCCCGCCGGGGATGTGCCCACCACCAAGGTCCATGCCCTTGACCGGAATCGAACCTGGGACCCTTCAGTCTGAGGCCGACGCTCTATCCACGGAGCCACACCGGTTTCGGCTCAGTTTGGTTTTGGGGGGAAGCAGAGCCCATGAGTTCGGGGGGTCCCCGAGAAGCTGGCACAGACGTGGGTGTCTGAGTGGCTGCTGGCGGGTAGTGGGGCGCCCAGGCAGGTGTGTCTCCCCCCCCCCCCCCCCCCGATAGTGGACGGAGAGCAAGGCCTGGCCGTCTGTGTGTGTAGTCTCATGTCGTGTAATTACGTGTCAAGAGGAGTGTGTGCGGCCAAAACCGGTGTGGCTCAGTGGATAGAGCGCCGGCCTGCAGACGGAAGGGTCCCGGGTTCGATTCCCGTCAAGGGCATGGACTTCGGTTGCGGGCACATCCCCAGTGGTGGGTGTGCAGGAGGCAGCTGATCGATGTTTCTGACTCTCTATCCCATTATTTCCTCTCTGTAAAAAAAAAATCAATAAAATTTATCCATTAAAAAAAAAGAATATATGTTAAAGATATACATTTAAAATATAATTTTTTATTGATTTCAGAGAGGAAGAGAGAGAGAGAGAGAGAGAGAGAGAGAGAAACATGGGGAGGGAGCCCACAGCCTGGGCCTGGGCCCTGACCGGGAATCGAACCCTGCCCTCCTGGTTCCTAGGTTGACGCTCCACCGCTGAGCCACACCTGCCGGGCCCGAAGATGCTTTTCAGTTATAGATCACTAAATCCTTTATAAGGCGCTTCCAATGGGCTGTTTATTCGATCCTCAGAATTTAATGTATTCGATCCTCACAATTACACTGAGATAGATGCCAACGAGGCCCTTCATTGGGAAGACGCAGGCTCAGAGGTGGAGTGTTTTGCCCCAAATCTCAGGCTCTTGTTCCTCTATCTTAAGTTGCTGGGCCGAATCCGGTGTGGCTCAGTGGACAGAGCGTCAGCCTGCGGACTGAAAGGTCCCGGGTTCGATTCCGGTCAAGGACGTGTACCTTGGTTGTGGGCACATCCCCGGTAGGGGGTGTGCAAGAGGCAGCTGGTCGAAGTTTCTCTCTCATCAACGTTTCTAGCTCTCTCTCCCTCTCCCTTCCTCTCTGTAAACAATCAATGAAATATATATATTTTTTTAATTGCTGGGAAAACAACACCAGCAAAACATATTCCCGCTCGCCTGGGGTCCCTCCCTCGCCGGCCCCACGGAGACCAGAACGGGCGGGATCCCTCTTCCGAGTCCTGGGAAGCTCGGCCGGACGGAGAGGCGGACGCATGTCCTGGGATGGGAATATGACGACGCTCTTTTTCTTCTCCTCCTTCTTCTTTTAGGGAAAACCCAGAAAGAACCTTTGACCTGGCAGTGAACGTGAAATGTCCCTCCTCTGAAGGCGAAGGTACGTGCGCGCGGTCGGTCTCTGAGCGGCCGGCGTCTGTCCCAGGGCCGGCCCCGGGGCAGGGCCGTGGACACGGGAGCACCTGCCTGTGGGACCCGCCCGCACCCCCGTCTCGCGAGGCCCGGAATGGAATCGATGCGGGGTCTCGGCCCTGTGCTGGTGGTAATAATCGTGACTGTTTTCCTTCTTTAAAAATCTATTTTACTGATTTTTTTCACAGAGAGGAAGAGGGAGGGACAGAGAGTCAGAAGCATCCATGAGAGAGAATCATCCATCAGCTGCCTCCTGCACGCCCCCCACTGGGGATGTGCCCGCCACCAAGGTCCATGCCCTTGACCTGGAATAGAACCCAGGACCCTTCGGTCTGCAGGCCGACGCTCCATCCACTGAGCCGCACCGGTCAGGGCCATGAATGTTGTCTGTGCGGCTTCAGTCTCCCGGTGTGAGAGAGACACCGCTCCCAGCGCGGCTGTCCCCGGTGGGTGCTCACGTTTCACTTCCTTTCGTGCCTCTTGGGAAAGGAAGCTCCTTTTTAAAACAGCGGCGAGCGCCGGCCGGCGGGGCTCCGGGGCTGAGCGTCCGCCTAGGAGCCAGGAGGTCCGGGTTCGGTTCCCGGTCAGGCCACAGCCCCGGGTGCGGGCTCCACCCGCAGGGTGGGGTGGGCGGGAGGCAGCCGGTCCACGATTCTCTCTCCTCATGGATGTTTCTGGCTCCCTCTTGCTCTCTCTCTCTCTAAACGCAATAATAAAAAATTGTAAAAAACAATACATAGATCCAACGCCAGCGCGAATTCTCCGTCAGCCCCATGGGGGCCACTCCCGTCCCCTCTGGAATGACCTCGCTGGCGCCGCCCTGGTGGGGGAGGGTGGGAGGGGGGAAAAGGCCTGGGGAGGGTTTCAGCTGTCTGTCCCATGCAGTTTTCCGGAAAGACAGAGCCATTGGCAAGGGTCATTTTTGTTCGTCCTCCTCCCATCCACTTAAAAAAAAAAAATTATATATATATATATTATTGATTATGGTATCACATAATTGTCCTCATCCCCCCACTCCCATCCCAAACCCCTCCCCACACGTTGCCCCCGCCCCCCTGTTGTCCGTGGCCACTGGCCAGGCCCATGGGCACGCACACAAGTCCTTGGGTTGATCTCTCCCCCTGACCCCCCGCCCTCCCCTGCCTTCCCTCTGAGGTTTGACAGTCTGATCGCTGCTTCTCCGTCTCTGGGTCTGTTTTTGTCCATCCGTTTATGCTGTTCATTATTTCCCCTAGATGTGTGAGATCATGGGATCCAAGAAATACCCTTATAAGAATACCCTTTGACCTGTGTGTGTGTGTGTGTGGAGGGGGGTGGGCAGAGTGAGGGTTATATTCCTGACCCTTTTCTTTTCAACGTGTCCTGTGCCATGTTTTCCCGGGGACGGCCGGTGTCATTTCCTAGCCCCGTGGTTGGCAAACTCATCGGTCCACAGAGCCAAATACTGACAGCACCAGGACGGACATGTCTTTGGGGAGCCACAATTTTTAAACGTAAACGTCTTCCACACAGACCCGCCTGGGCCGTGGTGTTCTGTGGAAGAGCCGCCCTCCAGGGGCCCGAGAGCCGCCGGTGGCTCTGGAGCCGCGGTTTGCCGACCACTGCTCGGCCCTCCGCACACGATGCTCAGGGGTGGGTCTGGGAGGTGAGCCTTCTGTTCTTGGTACAAAGGCGGCTGTCATGCTCAGCTTCAGGCTCTGGCCAGCAATTATGTGCCTTTATATATATATATATGCCTTTATTTAAAAAAAAAAAATAAAGCAATTATATGCTCATAAGCCATCTGGGGCTGCTCACCTTAAAATAGAGGTGCCCGCCCCAGCTGTGGCCACAGGGGCGTGGCTGGCGTGGCTGTTTCTGTCATGGTTGTCCATTTTAATTTCTTTTTTTTTTTTTTAAATTTCTTTATTGCCAAAACCGGTGTGGCTCAGTGGATAGAGCGTCGGCCTGCGGACTGAAGGGTCCTGGGTTCGATTCGGGTCAAGGGCATGGACCTTGGTTGCGGGCACATCCCCAGTAGGGAGCGTGCAGGAGGCGGCTGATGGATGTTTGTCTCTCGTCAATGTTTCTAACTATCTCTCTCCCTACCTCTCTGTAAAAAAATCAATGAGATATAGGAAAAAATTATTTATCGCTTAAGGTATCACATATTTGTCCTCACCCCCCCATTCGCATCCCAAACCCCTCCGCACACCTTCCCCCACCTTCCTGTTGGCCGGGACCGCTGGTTAGGCTTATAGGCACGCACACAACCGTGTAATCTCTGTGAGTCTGCAGATATCCATCAGACATTCGTAACGTGGTATAGAGTTTCTCTTTTTTAAATAAATATATTTTATTGATTCCAGAGAGGAAGGAAGAGGGAGAGAGAGAGATAGAAACATCCATGATGAGGGAGAATCACGGATTGGCTGCCTCCTGCACGCCCCACTCTGGGGATCGAGCCCACAACCCGGGCCTGTGCCCTTGGCCGGAATCGAACCCAGGACCCTTCTGTTTGAAGGCCGACGCTCTACCCACTGAGTCACACCAGCGAGGGCTGTATAGTTTCTTTATTTTAAAAAAATATATATCTTATTGATTTTTTACAGAGGAGGGGAGAGGGAGAGAGAGTCAGAAACATCGATGAGAGAGAAACATTGACCAGCTGCCTCCTGCACACCCCCCATTGGGGATGTGCCCACCACCAAGGTCCGTGCCCTTGACCGGAATCGAACCCGGGACCCTTCCATCTGCAGGCTGACGCTCTATCCACCGAGCCACACCAGCCAGGGCCGTACAGTTTCTTTAAACACAGTTTAAAGCGTCCACGCTGAGAGGGAAGACAGCCCTCTTACGATCCGTCGTTGGTGGGGGGAGGCGGGCATGCTCAGGCCACCGCGATGGAGGGCCCGGGGCCCTGGGGCCGCCCGCTCCGGGCCTGAGGCGGGCGGGTCGTGACCTTTCGGAGGAGACACGTGAGCGGCCCGCTCCGCGCCCGCTGCCCCTGCCCGGCCTTCTCCCCGGAACCGGTCCGGCCAGTTCCGTGTTCCCACATTGGCCTCCTCTCCTCCTCTCGTCCTTTGGCTGTTCCTGTGGGCACATGGCATTTGTGTGTTTTAAAAATATATATTTTTATTAAAGATTTCAGAGAGGAAGGGAGAGAGAGAGAGAGAGAGAAGCGTCCATGATGAGAGAGAATCATGGACCGGCTGCCTCCCGCATGCTCGCCCCTCACTGGGGATGGAGCCCGCAACCCGGGCCTGTGCCCTGACCGGGCATCGAACCCAGGACCCTTCAGCCCACAGGCTGACGCTCTATCCGCTGCGCCACACCAGCTAAGGCGGTCCGACGTTTAAGGGACTCACCCCTAGGGCAGTGGTCGGCAAACTCATCCGTCCACCGAGCCGAATAGCAACAGCACCACGGCGGACGTGTCTCTGGAGAGCCACAGCTTTTAAACGTAAACGTCTTCCGACGCCACGTCTTCCACACGGGCCCGCCCGGGCCGTGGTGTTCTGTGGAAGAGCCGCCCTCCGGGGGCCCGAGAGCCGCGGGTGGCTCGCGAGCCGCAGTTTGCCGACCGCGGGCCCAAGGCCCTGGCAGGGCCGGACCAAATGACTTCTCGGGCCTCGCCTGGCCCGCGGGCCGGACGCTCCCCCCCTGGACGTTGGAGGGACCCGCAGGCCCTCCTGATGGAGGAATGGACCCGAGAAGCCAGCCGGTGGATCAGGGAGCGTGAGGGCCCAGGCCCAGCCTCCGCTGGGCCCTAAGGAGGCCTCCCCCCAGGAGGCTGGCTACTCCGCAGAGGAGGAAGTCTGAAAGGAGGTCATGGGTGGTCGGACAGGAAGTCTCTTTCCCAGAATCCCCGACACCCCGGGTCCCAGGAACCACGTGGCCCGGGGCCCGACCTGGGCCCTGAAGGAGGCCATGCCCTTGACCGGAATCGAACCCGGGACCCTTCCGTCCGCAGGCCGACGCTCCATCCACGGAGCCACACCGGCCAGGGCTGGCGGGGACTCTTTATGTGGATGCTCCCCTGGCTGTGCAGTGCCCTCCCCACTCGTGTCCCAGCCGCCCACAAGGGAGGTGCCCACGCTCAGGTCCCAGGGCCGTGCCCGCTGGCTTGCCGGGCGCCTGGCTGGGGTCCCTCTTGCCGTCTTCCCACCGCTCAGGGGTGGGCAGCCAGCCCCGTGGGCTCCGCTGGGGCTGGGAACAGACCTGCCTGTGCCCCCACCCTCACCCCCATGTCCCCCCCTCGGTCCCCGGACTTCAGACACGGACATGGACATGGGCGGGAAGTGACCTCGCCCCCACCCTGCCCCTGTGCCACCAGCTTCCTCGGGGTTTGGGGACGGCTGCTCCGAAGGGGTGTTTCTCTCCAGAGGGACTGAGGGAGGAGGGAGAGGCGGGTCTGGCAGGCGGAGCAGCGGGAGCAGCCAGGGCAGCCAGGAAACCTGCCCCCGGGGCCGGGGCCCGGCTCGGCTCCGTGTGTGGGCGGCTCGGCGAGCAGATCCCATCTGATCTGCGGTCTCAGTCGCAGGTCTGGCCTCTCCCAGCCCCGAGGAGCTCACGGCTGGCTGCCCCGATCGCGGGAGGAAGGCTGCAGAGCGAGCTGGATGGGGCGCAGGTGTTTGTTTTGTATAAAATGTTTTTATTGATATTTCAGAGAGGAAGGAGGGAGAGAGAGAGAGACAGACAAACAGATAGACAGCAGCGATGAGAGAGAATCATGGACCGGCGGCCTCCTGCACACCCCCGCACCCAGGGCCTGTGCCCTGACCGGGAATCGAACCCTGACCTCCTGGTTCACAGGTGGACGCTCCGCCCCTGAGCCATGCCAGCTGATCTCTCTTTCTCTTTTTTTTTTTAAAAAAAATGTTTTATTGATTTTTTAATAGAGAGGAAGGGAGAGGGAGAGAGAGTTAGAATCATGGATGAGGGAGAAACATCCATCAGCTGCCTCCTGCACGCCCCCCACTGGGGATGTGCCTGCAACCAAGGTCCATGCCCTTGACCGGAGTCGAACCCGGGTCCTTTGAGTCTGCAGGCCGAGGCTCTATCCACTGAGCAACACCGGTGAGGGCTCCGTTGGCGGTTAGAGAGGGTCGAAGGGATGGGGAGAGACACAGAGAGAAACACCGATGGGAGAGAGACACACATCGATGGGTTGCCTCCCGCACGCAGCCCAACCAGAGCTGGGAAACCTGCAGCCGGGGAACGTGCCCTTGACCGGAATCGAACCCGGGACCCTCCAGTGCAGGGGCTGCCGCCGCTCTGACCACTGAGCCACACCGACCGGGGAGGCCGCCGTGAAACCCGTGTGCACCCACCCGCACAGCCCACCCCGCCCAGGGGAGCCCTGGCATGCAGGAAGCCGAGCCTGGGTGAACCCCACGCGCAGTGAAGTGGTTTAGGACACTTTGCATATCGCCGAGCGTGGAAACAAAGAGAAAAAAAAGAAAAGAATCTGTGAGTGTCATGTGGTTCCCGGGTTTCGGCGGGGGTTGCACGCTCCTTCTAGAAGTCTCTCTGGCTCCCTGATACTCACCCTTCCCTCCCACCTGCCCGCCGGGGCCCAGGGTGACGGTGGCTGTGAGAGGCACTGCCTTCGTTTGATGTAGCAAAGCTTGGACTCCAGCTGGACTTACTTATATTTGGCCTCGGACAGCAACCTGGTCGGCAAACCGCGGCTCTCGGGCCCCTGGAGAGCGGCTCTTCCACAGAACACCACGGCCTGGGCCGGTCCGTGTGGAAGACGTGGCCTTCGGAGATGTTTACGTTTAAACAACGTGGCTCTCCGGAGACGTGTCCGTCGTGGTGCTGTGGATATTGGGCTCTGTGGACGGATGAGTTTGCCGACCGCTGAGCTAGGCACATGCTCCTTCAGAGCGCCGCCTGCAGGTGTCCTAGGAAAAGACAGACCCCGTTTCAGCCCGGCTGGCCTGGCTCCGGGGTGGAGCATCGACCTGGGAACCAGGAGGTCAGGGTTCGATACCCGGTCAGGGCACAGGCCGGCGTTGCGGGCTCCATCCCCAGTGGGGGGCGTGCAGGAGGCAGCTGATCCATGATTCTCTCTCTTCATCGGTGTTTCTATATCTCTCTCCTTCTCCCTTCCTCGCTCAAATTAAAATATATACACACACACACACACACACACACACACACACATTTGCCCTGGCTGGTTTGGCTCCGTGGATAGAGCATCAATCAGCCTGTGGACTGAAGGGTCCCGGGTTTGATTCTGTTCAAGGGCACAGGTCTGGGTTGCAGGCTTGATCCCCATTAAGGGACATGCAGGAGGCCGCTGATCAATGTTTCTCTCTCATTGGTGTTTCTATATCTCTCTTCTCCCTTCCTCTCTCTCTCTCTCTCAAAAAAAAATTATATATATGTTTGCCCTAGCTGGTTCGGCTCCATGGATGGAGCATCAGCCTATGGGCTGAAAGGTCCCAGGTTCGATTCTGGTCAAAGGCACCTGCTTGGGGTGCAGGCTTGATCCCCATTAAAGGTCCTGCAGGAAATCCCATTCCAGCGTTCGGTATCTGTTGATGATTACTTCGAGAGGGCTGGCTGCAGAGTTTAGGTAGGGTTTCCCCCCCACATTGTACACACACGCACGCTGTAATTATAGAGGCGTTGTGCATTAAAAGGCATTTCATCTTCCACACCGAGCCCTCTGCTCTGGAAGGCCGTATCCATTCTCTGTGGGGAAACGCCGTGTCTTTAACGGTCGGATTATCACGTGTCTCCGTAGGTGCTTCTGTGGGTCACGTGCCCTTTATTTTTGCCGCTGGAACCCAAGGTGACTTGTGGGTTTTTCGGGTGAATGACCCCCCTCCCCCTCTTCCTTTTACCTGGGGGTGAGGTGCCTGATTCCCCCTCAGGGCCCAGGCCCAGGGTTGGGGCCTCCATCCCCAATAGGGGGCGGCGTGCAGGAGGCAGCCCGTCCGTGATGATTCTCTCTCATCGTGGATGTTTCTAACTCTCTCCTCTCCCCCTCCTCCTTCCTCTCTGAAGTCAATTAAAAACACATTAAAAGCAAATAAAGCGAAGAAAAGGTGGTTGCTGTATCTCCAAGACCCGCATTTCAGATTTTAATAGAAATACGTTCTAGCCCTCAGCAGTGTGGCTCAGTGGATAGAGCGCCGGCCTGCGGACTGAGGGGTCCCGGGTTCGATTCCGGTCAAGGGCATGTGCCTTGGTTGCGGGCACATCCCTGGTGGGGAGCGTGCAGGAGGAGGCTGATGGATGTTTCTCTCTCATCGATGTTTCTAGCTCTCTCTCCCTCTCCCTCCCTCCCTGTAAAAAATCAATAACATATATTTAAAAAAAATAATTTTTAAAGGCTGTTGGTGACGAACCGCAGGCTCTGCTGAGCTGGCGGGGCCGGGGCAGATCAGATCGGGTCCTTTCCTCTCTCACTTCCTCCTCCTTATCGCTGAATCTGGACCCTCCGCGGCGAGCGATAGCGTGTGTCTCTGCAGGCGGGGAAGCGTCCAGAAATTAGTCATTTCACAAGCCGCTCCGCCTCGGTCTGCTGCAGACACCCCGCGGGAGGACGGGTGCCCCCCGAGTGGCAGCCCGTGAGCGTTGGACGCGTGTAACGTGTGGCCTGAGCGGTGGTGGGGAGGAACACATGTGTGCACGTGTGCAGAAGCCGCTGGGTGGGGCAGGGCCCGGGAAGCGAGGACAGGGGAGCCAGGGTCTGTGAATTAAAATATCCGTCGCCCTAGCCCCGTGGTCGGCGAACCGGTGGCCCCCGGAGGGCGGCTCTTCCACAGAACAGCCCGGCCTGGGCGGGTCCGTGTGGAAGACGTGGCGTTAGGAGGCGTTTACGTTTTAAAAACCTGGCTCTCCAGAGACACGTCCGTCGTGGTGCTGTTGGTGTTTGGCTTTGGACTCAGGAATTGGCCGATCACGGCCCTAACCTAACAGGTGTGGCTCCGTGGCTAGAGCGTCGGCCTGCGGACTGAAGGGTCCCGGGTTCGATTCCGGTCCAGGGCATGGGCCTTGGTTGCGGGCACATCCCCGGTGGGGGGTGCGCAAGAGGCAGCTGGTCGATGTTTCTCTCTCATCGACGTTTCTAGCTCTCTGTCCCTCTCCTTTCCTCCTCTCTGTAAACTATCAGTAAAATATATTTTAAAAAATTTTTTATAAAATATAAATTGCTTGACCTGAATCGAACCTGGGACCCTTCAGTCCGCAGGCCGACGCTCTATCCACGGGGCCACACCGGCCAGGGCTGTGCTGGCTCCGCACGATGGGTGTCCGGGAAACGTCAGCACACGGATCCTTCTGCGGGGCGTTCCTTGTCCTGGATGAATCGAGATCGAACATCTGTGGCCCCTCCTGGCCTTCCTGTTGCTGGCGGTTCATCTAAGATTAAAAACAAAAAGTAAAAAGCAACCACCACACAAAACGCGCGCTCCGGTGCCCGGCTCCCGGGGCCTCCGGGCCCTCGCTGCTGATGGTTCGATCCCCGCCACCCCCCGCGGCTGCCGGGGCGGGCGCGGAAAAGAGATTGCTTTCCCGGCGAGGTGTTCCCAATCCAATTCTCACCCATTAGCCCCGTCCGGCTGAGTTTGGGCTCCACAGCCGTCGGCTCCGAGTGACTCGATCCGGTGATGGACCGAGGTCCTCCCTGTGGGATAACGGGCCTCGCTTCCGGGTCCGAGGGATGCACGCGCGCCTGCTGCTTTGACCCGCCTGAGTGTTTATTTATTTTAAAAAACATTTTATTGATTTTTATTTTTTTATTTTTTACAGAGAGGAAGGGAGAGGGATAGAGAGCTGGGAACATCGGTGAGAGAGAATAATTCTCGCCGACCAGCTGCCTCCTGCACACCCCTCACTGGGGATGTGCCCGCAACCAAGATACATGCCCTTGACCGGAATGGAACCTGGGAGGGGCCCTCCAGTCTGCAGGCCGACGCTCTATCCACTGAGCCACACCGGTCAGGGCTAAACGCTCCATTTGTTTGTTCATCTTGCCTTATTCCTCAGCCCTTCAGTCTTCAGCCGTAGATGACGGATTGTCTGTTCAGCAGACGGTGCTCCAGTGGCGAGGGGTAGCCCTGAGCCGACATGGATGGGACAGGAGACAGTACCCTCACTCCCCTTGGTGTGAACTTCCGATCAGACCTCATACCTGGAGCCGCATTTCTGTTTGAATTCTCACACCTCACCCCCCCCGGCGGGGTCTGCCAGCGCTGGCCTGCGCCTGGCGGCTGGGCGGTCAGGGGGACACACGCTGCCATTCCAGGCCAGGCCGGGCGTCTTCACAAAGGCGCTGGGACCCGGCTCAGGGGATTTTCATGACGGCGGCTGTGACAGTGTGTGTGTGTGTGTGTGTGTGTGTGTGTGTGTGTGTGTGTGTCTGCCTCTCTCTAATGCCGTGTATCCGTTCTTTACAGATCCCGTGGTTTTGTGGAAATTCCCAGCGGACTTTGGAGACCAGGTTAGAATCCCATCCTTAAAATATATATATATATAATCTCCCGTGTTTCCCCGAAAATAAGACATCCCCTGAAAATAAGACCTAGCGCAACTTTGGGAGAAAAAAATAATATAAGACACTGTCTTATTTTCGGGGAAACAGGGTATGTATATAATTGATTTTTTTACAGAGAGGAAGGGAGAGGGTGAGAGAGTTAGAAACATGAGGGCCTTCCTGACTCAGGATGCCATTTGGAAATAGTGGTCCCTCTTTCTAAAAATGTATTATTTATTGATGTCAGAGAGGAAAGGGGGGAGAGAGAGAGAGAGAGAGAGAGGGAGAGAGAGAGAGAGAGAGAGAGAGAGAGGGAGAGACTGGACTCATGGATCGGCTGCCTCCTGCACAAGAGGAAGGGAGAGGGAGAGTTAGAAACATGGATGAGACAGAAACATCGACCAGCTGCCTCCTGCACACCCCCCACTGGGGATGTGCCTGCAACCAAAGTCCATGCCCTTGACGGGAATCGAACCCGGGACCCTTCCGTCCGCAGACCGACGCTCTATCCACTGAGCCACACCTGTTTCGGCCCAGGGTGGAACTTTCAAAACACCCCCCTCCTGCGAGCCGAAAACCTTGAACTTGGCCAACATATGGTCCCAGCCAGCCTCCTGCCCACCCCGGCCTTTTGTTGTCTGGGGATTGTTTCCGGGCTCACTGGCCCTGTCAGCCCCCGATCGGGAGGTGGGGCCGGCCGCCCCGGGGAGGCCCGAGGACACAGCCGTGGATTATGGAAATGCGCACGGATCTCAAAGGGGTCCCGGCGACAGCACGGGGCTGGGGGGGGAGCCAGCCGCTCCCTGAAAAGATGACGGGGTGGGATGGAGGAGGGAGCGTTTGAAATCTTTCAGGCCAGCTGCTGCGGCTCGGAGAAAGGCCGGGCGTGCGTGTGCGTGTGCGTGTGCGTGTGTGTGTGCGTGTGTGTGTGTGTGTGTGGAGGGAGAGCGATTGGGGGCCGGATTAGCAGTGTGATTTATTCTATTCGATCTGTTTCCATTTCCCCCCCCGGGGGGATAGATGTGTGCGTGTTAACAGGCCGAGCCCCCGTGAGGCTGTGACATTGTAAGGACACGTCGGGGTGGGGAGGGGACGCTGTGGGGACAGCACACGCAGGGGGGGGGGTGCGTGTTTAACCTCCACGCAGGTGTCGTTTCGAACATTAGCTCTGGGGCGGGGTTCTGTGGAGGATGAGGACGGGGACCGTGAAGATGTGTGTCTGTGTGTGTCTGTGTGTCTGTGTGTGTCTGTGTGGTGTGTGTGTCTGTCTGTGTGCGTGTGTGTGTCTGTGTGTGTCTGTGTGAGTGTCTGTGTGTGTCTGTGTGTCTGTGTGTGTGTCTGTGTGTCTGTGTGTGTGTCTGTGTGTGTCTCTGTGTGTGTGTGTCTGTGTGTGTCTGTGTGTCTGTGTGTGTCTGTCTCTGTGTGTGTGTCTGTGTGTCTGTGTGTCTGTGTGTCTGTGTGTGTGTATCTGTGTGTGTCTGTGTGTCTGTGTGTGTCTGTGTGTCTGTGTGTCTGTGTGTCTGTGTCTGTGTGTGTGTGTGTGTCTGTCTGTGTGCGTGTTCTGCGGCTTTGACGACAGAGCGACGTGTGTACTCCTGTGTGCTTTTCCAGACAGGCGGTGGATTGCAGCTTCTCTGGGTAAACCTACTAATTGGTCACATCCATCTTCAGAAAAATAAAAAATTTTAAAAATTGATGTCAGAGACGGAGGGAGAGGGAGAGAGAGAGAGAAATATCCATGAGGAGAGAGAATCGAGATGGGCTGCCTCCTGCACGCCCCCTCCCCCCGCAACTAGGGATGGAGGCAGAGTGGTTAGGGGCGGTCAGGCAGGCAGGCAGAGTGGTTAGGGGAGATCAGGCAGGCAGAGTGGTTAGGGGAGATCAGGCAGGCAGAGTGGTTAGGGGAGATCAGGCAGGCAGAGTGGTTAGGGGCGATCAGGCAGGCAGAGTGGTTAGGGGCGGTCAGGCAGGCAGGCAGAGTGGTTAGGGGCGGTCAGGCAGGCAGAGTGGTTAGGGGCCGTCAGGCCAGCAAGCAGGCGAGCGGTTAGGAGCCAGTGGTCCCGGGTTGCGAGAGGGATGTCCGACTGCCGGTTTGGATATTCCCCGAGGGGGCCTGGATTTTGAGAGAGGGTGCAGGCCGGGCTGAGGCCCCCCACCCCGAATTTTGTACACGGGGCCTCCCGTCTCCCGGTAAAAGAACGGAGAGAATGAGCAGGAGGCAGGAGATGATTTCTTTCCCGGGAGCACCGCTCTCCCCCGATCAGACGTTTGCCAGCTCGCTGCCGGACACCAGAAATGGCGTTTCCTCTTTCAGGCCCTGCAGCCGGAGCGGACAGGCAGGAGTGACACGCCCGTCTGTCCCTCGCACTCCGGCCAGACCTGTTGGGCGGCTTTCCCTCTGAGAAAAGAACCGGTGTTCGTCCGGAGCACGAGGGCCCAGACCAACCCCACACCTTTGTTAGAAGCTCAGCCAGGGCGCCCGGATGACGCCAGCAGGGAGTGAGGGTGGAACTTGGTGTCCGATCTCGCAGGTGGAGGGATGTTCTGTAAGAGGATCGCTCCCGGCGCGCTGGTTAGAATTTCAGGACTCAGTCCTTAAAGAAACACACACACACACACAGACACACACAGAGACACACACACACACACAGAGACACAGAGATACACACACACACACACACACAGAGACACACACAGAGACACATACACACACACAGAGATACAGAGATATACACACACACACAGAGACACACACAGAGACACATACACACACACACAGAGATACAGAGATACACACACATACACACACACACAGACACAGAGATACACACACATACACACACACACACTCACACACACAGAGACACAGACACTCACACACACAGAGACACAGAGATACACACACACACACACACACAGAGACACAGACACACACAGAGAGATACAGAGATACACACACACATACACACACACAGACACAGAGATACACACACATACACACACACATACACACACACACACTCACACACACACACACTCACACACATATACACACAGACACTCACACATACAGAGACACAGAGATACAGACACACAGACACACACACACACAGACACACAGACACACACACACACACTCAGGGCTTCAGATTTAACTGTCCTTTGACCTATTCAAAGTCATGGGCGTGGACAATTTATTAAAAAAAATATTTTTATTGATTTTCACAGAGAGGAAGGGAGAGGGAGAGAGAGTCAGAAATATCGATGAGAATCATCCATCAGCTGCCTCCTGCACAACCCACACTGGGGTGTGCCCGCAACCAAGGTCCATGCCCTGGACCGGAATCGAACTCGGGACCTTTCAGTCCGCAGGTCAATGCTCTATCCCCTGAGCCACACCGGCTAGGGCTGAAAGAATATTACCTTAAGTCTTTACATCATCTGTGGGTGCTGGCCTAGAAGTGTGTGTGTGTGTGTGTGTGTGTGTGTGTGTCTCTGTGTCTCTCTGTGTGTCTCTGTGTCTCTGTATCTCTGTGTCTGTGTGTGTGTCTCTGTGTGTGTCTCTGTGTGTGTGTCTCTGTGTCTGTGTCTGTGTGTGTGTCTCTGTGTGTGTGTATCTCTGTGTCTCTGTGTGTGTCTCTGTGTGTGTGTATCTCTGTGTCTCTGTGTGTGTGTATCTCTGTATCTCTCTGTGTGTGTCTCTGTGTGTGTGTGCACCTTAACACCGTGCGATGGAGAGATCGGACAGTGTGAACGCAAAAGTGCAACTTCTAATTAGCATCGTCGCTAAAAGTGTCTCCCAAAATGAACTGCGTGGGTCTTATTTCTCCTCACACTCCCTCTCCCTCCTCCCCTCCCTCTCCTGCACTCTCTCTCTCTCTCTCTCTCTCTCTCTCTCTCTCTCTCTCTCTCTCTCTCTCTCTCCTGCGCTCTCTCTCTTTTAAACACCAGTGTGAATGGCACCTGTAATTAGGCAGACCCGGGAGCCGGGAGCCGAGGGCGCTGGGGAGGACTCCGTCTATTGATCTGTGTGAGCCTGACGGGCGGCCCAGGCCGTGTGGGCGGGCGGCTTTGTCGCAGGCAGCAGCGGGGTGTGTGTGTGTGTGTGTGTGTGTGTGTGTGAGGGGGGAGATGGGGGATGAGGGGGGAAAGGGGGGCGTCTGGGCTGTTTATACGGCCCGGCCTGCTGGCTGCTGAATCTTAAAGAGCCGGTTTAAAGGGTTGTCCCCCGAGGCGGCTCTGCCAGTTGGGAAGCGAGCTGAGGCCTGTGTGTGTGTGTGTGTGTGTGTGTGTGTGTGTGAGTCGCTGGAGGAAGGAGGGGTGGGTGTGAGAGATGGAACCTCTAAGGGGAGAACCTTCTTAATTTGAGCCTTAAAATGGATGTGGAAAAAAAATGATGGGAAATTGATCCCTAATCCTGGTGTATTTAGAAGCAGACCGTGAATTTTGTATGTCATCTGTCTATCCTCTATCTGATCTATCTTACCTATCTATCTGTTTTTCTATCTATTTGTCAATCTATCAGCTATCTTTTTCTATCAAGTATCTATTTTTCTTTCTATCATTGATCTATCCTCTATCTAACCTATCTTACCTAATTTATCATCTATCTATTTATTGTATCATCTATTTTTCTATCTTTCTATTTTCTATCTATATATCTATCTATCATCTATCTATTTTTCTATCTACCTTTTATTTTCCTATTATCTATCTAAGCTATCATCTATCTATCTATTGTCTGCCTATCTCTCTCTCTCTCTCTCTCTCTCTCTCTCTCTCTCTCTCTCTCTCTCTCTCTCATCTGTCTCTCTGTCTATCTAGCTATCATCTATTTTTTATTTACTATCTGCTATCTATCTATCTGTCTATCTGTCTGTCTGTCTGTCTGTCTGTCTGTTGTGGGGTGCAGGGGCTGTGGCTGCTGCAGGGAGACATCAGCCCTGTTTTCCACAGGGAAAGCTCACAGCTCCCCCAGCACCCCTGGCTTTGACCGTGTCTGATGGCTCTCTTCCTCGGTCAAGTCTACGTGAAGGGTTCAGACTGGGTCCGACAGTTGTTTTTCATAGATCACACACCCGGACCCTTTTCTGTGTGGGGCCAGACAGACAATAGATAGATAGATAGGTAGATAGATAGATAGATAGATAGATGATAGATAAATAGATAGAAAGGTAGATAGATAGGTGATAGATAAATAGGTAGGTAGATAGATAGATGATAGATAGATAGATAGAAAGGTAGATAGATAGGTGATAGATAGATAAATAGGTACATAGATAGATGATAGATAAATAGGTAGGTAGATAGATAGATGATAGATAGATAGACAGACAGACAGATAGACAGACAGATAGACAGATAGATAGACAGACAGACAGACGATAGATAGATAAATAGACTATAGATAAACAGATAGATGATAGATAAATAGATAGATGATGGATGGATGGATAGATAGATAGATAGATAGATAGATAGATAGATAGATAGATATTTGGGCCAGACAGACAATAGATAGACAGACAGACAGACAGACAGATAGACAAATAGACAGACAGACGATAGATAGATAGACGATAGATAGATAGACAGATAGATAGACAGATAGATAGACAGATAGATGATAGATATCTGGGCCAGACAGATAGATAGATAGACAGACAGACAGATATATAGATAGATGATAGATATCTGGGCCAGCCAGATAAATATATAGACAGACAGACAGACAGGGGGCAGTTAGGCACTATTCAGACCCTGGGACCAGTTGCATGTTGTCCTCAGCTGTGAGTGCGTGTTTGATCTCTGAACAGCCGAACACTATTTCAGAGCAAACGGCAGGTCCCGGCAGGAATCAGGCCACTCCCTCCGCGCTAACGAGAACGTGGGTTTTCAGGGGGTCCCCGCCCCCCGTTATAGGCAGGCACGTGGACGGACGGGAAGCTTGTTTTTGGGGAAAGAAAGGCTGAGTCTCAGACGGACACGGGGGTGGGGGTTCATTCCAGATGGACTTGGGGTTCCTGCCTCCGAGTCCACAGGGGGTGAGCCCCTCGGCGTCTCTCTCTAAACCCCCTCCTGTGGGACAGCCCCCCCCCCCCCCCGCAACCCCCGGCCTCCCTGCATGCTAACGGGACAGCCTCTCCCCGTCTGCGCCAGGCCTGTCGGAGCCCCCTGGCTGCTCTGCGGCCGGTGCTCCCCATCTGGTGCGGCCGTGAACCCATATGGCCTGTGGAGGGTGTGAATGCCCTTCAGGCCTCCCGGCCGCATTGTCCCCGCAATCTGCCCTCCACCCTCCTCCCCTTAACAATCAATTAGGCCCAGCCCAGCCTGGGCTGTGAGCTTAAGAAAGGAACCCTTTTATTTTATTTCATCTTACTTTTATCTTATTTTATTTATTTTTTATTTTATTTTACTTTATTTATTTAATTTTGCTTTATTTATTTATTTTATATTTCATTTTATTTTTTCATTTTATTTATTCTATTATATTACATTATTTTATTTTGTTTAATTTTATCATTTTGTTTTGTTGTTTAATTTAGTTTTATTATTTTATTTTATTTTGTTTAATTTTATTATTTTATTTTGTTTCATTTTATTTATTTTGTTTCATTTTATTATTTTATTTTATTTTGTTTCATTTTATTATTTTATTTTGTTTTGTTTAATTTTATTATTTTATTTTGTTTCATTTTATTTATTTTGTTTCATTTTATTGTTTTATTTTGTTGTTTTGTTTTATTTTGTTTTGTTTGATTTTATTATCTTATTTAATCTCACCTTTTGTTTTTCCTGGGAGGGCCGCCGGGCCCAGCTGTGAGGTCTGTCGGCCGCCTAATGCTCTGTTTCTGTCTGTTCCCCGTTGGCCTGCAGGAGGTGCTCAGGAGCGTGCCCCGGTTCTGCTTCCCCTTCGACGTGGAAAGGTGAGTGGTCCCTGAGCTCCCTCCGTCCCGCCAGCCGGAGACCGACAGCATGTTCTTACTGTTTGCAATTTATTTTACTTTCCCCGTTTTTCTATGAAGGTGTTATATGTGCACATATCTTATCATTGCCCCCCTTCCCCCCCAGAAAACCTAAACTTTTACCACAACACACACACACACACACACACACACACACACACTGTTTTATGTTTAAATACATTTCCATGGATGTCAGAGAGCAGAAAGGAGAGGGAGAGAGAGAGAGGGAGAGAAACGTCCATGGGGAGAGAGAATCATGGATCAGCTGCCTCCTGCACGCCCCCCACTGGGGATGTGCCCGCCACCAAGGTCCGTGCCCCCGACTGGAGTCGAACCCGGGACCCCTCGGTCGGCAGGCCGGCGGCGCTCTGCCCACTGAGCCACCCGGCTGGGGCGCCCTGGCGTCTCTGCTCGGACGTCCCGCCCGGGGCTGAGCTGCGGGCGCCCTGTGTTTGCAGGGCGTCTCAGAACCAGGTGGGCCAGCACTTCGCCTTCGTGCTGACGGACATCGAGAGCAAGCAGCGGTTCGGGTTCTGCAGGCTCACCTCGGGCGGCAGGACCTGCTTGTGCATCCTCAGGTGAGGCCCCTCGTGGGGGGAGAAAACCCGGGCACAGGGCGCGCTGTCCTCCGCGGTGCCGCTGTGCACTGGGGCTGCTCACCGAGCTGTAGATATAAAAGCCTCACGGCAAAGTGTCCGCGCGGGAGTTCGCTCGCTCGCTGGGACGTGCGCTGGCCATCAGGGGGTGGCACGGAATGAACGAAGGCCCCAGCCGGCAATGCCAGGGGCCCGACTCCCATGCATGAATTTCGTGCCTCCATTCCTCCTCCTCCTCCTCCTTCTTCTTCTTTAAAAATATTTTTTATTGCTGTTTTTCAGAGAGGAAGGGAGAGGGAGAGAGAATTAGACACATCCACGAGAGAGAAGCATCCATCAGCTGCCTCCTGCACACGCCCCACTGGGGATGTGCCCACAACCAAGGCACATGCCCTTGACCGGAATGGAACCCGGGACCTTTCGTCTGCAGGCCGACGGACGCTCTATCCACTGAGCCACACCGGTTTCGGCTTCCCTAGGATTTTTGGGGTTGGTTGGCAGAGGTAGATTTTGATGGTCGCTGGGCCTGAAATTTAGGGGGAAAGCATTTTAGCGTGCCGATACTCCGTGGAACAGCTTGACCATGACTTACACACGAGTGGCGTGGGGCTGTGTGTTGTGTGAACATTTCCTGAGAGGCCACAGAAGTAAAAAGACGAGAAGGACATTTGTTGTCCCAGCAAGGTGAGCTTATCCCTATGTATAAAACCCAAGGTGTGGCTCAGTGGATAGGACGTCGGCCTGCCAACTGAAAGATCCCGGGTTCGATTCCGGTCAAGGGCATGGACCTTGGTGCGGGGCACATCCCCAGTAGGAGGTGTGCAAGAGGCGGCTGATGGATGTTTCTCTCTCATCGATGTTTCTGACTCTCTATCCCTCTCCCTTCCTCTCTATGAAAAAATCAACTATATATATACAATATATATATATATATATATATATAGGCGGGGCGAGGCAGTGCCATGGGACTGAGTTGTGTTAGACTCTGCTGAACACAGAAGGGGGCCGGGAACACACTGGATCCAGAGCTTTGGGTTCTGGTCACGCGAGGGGAACGAGTCACAGGCCACACATTCCATGTCCCTGGGACAGTGGAGAGAACACAGGCTCAGTGCTTTTCCTGGGTCCAGGACCCAACGGTCTGAAATCACGTCCATTCAGTGGTCCTTTGTCATTTTGTTTCTTGGTTCTGAATAATAATAATTCGTTTTCCAGTCATTGCTATTATTATTATTATTATTATTATTATTATTATTATTATTATTTACAGCTACCTGCCATGGTTTGAAGTCTATTATAAGCTTCTCAACACGCTGGCCGACTACTTGGCGAAGGAACAGGTAAGCTGTGTTTCTCCCCCATTTTTTTTTTTTTTTAAATTGAGGTAAAATACATAAAACATAAAATGGGCTGGGTACGGTTTTCAGGGTACGGTTCTGTGTCATTAAGGATATTCACATAGTTCTCCGGCCACCCACCTTGTCCTCTCTAAAACTTTTTTTAGCCCTGGCCGGTGTGGCTCAGTGGATAGAGCGTCGGCCTGAGGACGGAAAGGTCCCGGGTTCGATTCCAGTCGAGGGCATGTGCCTTGGTTGCGGGAACATCCCAGTGGGCGGGGGTTGTTTGTGTGCAGAAGGCAGCTAATGGATGTTTCTCTCTCATCAATGTTTCTAACTCTCTCTCCCTCTGCTTTCCTCTCTGTAAAAAATCAATAAAATATATTAAAAAAAAGAGAGAAATATTTGAGTTTTAGGCATCTGGAACATTTCTGTGGAAATCTGACATGAGAAGCCCTGACTCGATCAAATTGTTTTTAAAAAAACCATATTTTGATTTAAATATTTAAATTATATTTTATTGATATTTTACAGAGAGGAAGGGAGAGGGATAGAGAGCTAGAAACGTCGATGAGAGAGAAACATCGACCAGCTGCCTCTTGCACACCCCCTACCGGGGATGTGCCCGCAACCAAGGTACGTGCCCTTGACCGGAATCGAACCCGGGACCTTTCAGTCCTCAGACCAACGCTCTACCCACTGAACCAAACCGGTTTCGGCAAGGGTGAAGTATTTTTAAAAAAATATATTCTGTTTACTTTTCACAGAGAGGAAGGGAGAGGGATAGAGAGCTAGAAACATCGATGAGAGAGAAACATCCATCAGCTGCCCCCTGCACACCCCCTTCCAACCCCCCACCCCCCGGGGATGTGCCCGCAACCAAGGCACATGCCCTCGACCGGAATCGAACCCGGGACCCTTCCGTCCGCAGGCCGACGCTCCATCCACTGAGCCACACCGGCTAGGGCTGATGGACATGGACTTGGTTGATAGAATGCACCTCCTTGTTTCCCGTAGGAAAAGGATTTGAACGCCACCCTCACAGCGCTGTACAACCACCCAGTCCCCAAGGCGAACAGCCCGGTCAACCTGAGTGTGGTGAGTAAGCAGGCAGGGAGCGGATCTGTTCTCGCATCTGCGGGAGGAGGGGCGGGCGTGTCTCCTTTAAGGGCACCCGCCCCTTTATAAGTCACTCCGCGCCCGGGGCCACGTCAGGGCTGGCCCCAGCGCCCTGCTGAGACCTTTGGACCTGCGCTCCCGGCCTTGGCCTTGCGCTGGCTGTGTATCTTGGCGGTTGTTATGTCGGTGTTTTGGGGTGGGTTTTTTTTTTTTTTTTTTTTTTGGCCTTTGGGTAAAATTTGGAATCAGTGGTCTCTGATAGCTTTCTCACCTGTTCTCAACACCATACCTGGCGTGTTGGTACTGTCAGCAGCGGAATAAAATATTGCCTTACGTTTCTGTAAAGCTCATTTCGAGATTGCATTGGATTCCAGGGCAAGGTGCCCGGCCCCTGTGCTGTGAACGAGGGGCAAAGGTTGCGATTAAATCACTTATTTAAAAAAAATATATATATATTTTTTAAAATTGATTTCAGAGAAGAAGGGAGAGGGAGACAGAGATAGAAGCATTCATGAGGAGAGAGAATCCTGGATTGGCTGCCTCCTACACATGCCCCTACTGGGGATGGAGTCTGCAACCCGGGAATCGAACCCGGGACCCTTCAGTCCGCAGGCCGACGCTCTATCCACTGAGCCACACTGTCCAGGGCTGCTCTCTGATTTTCTTACCATCTCCTATTTCATACAGTCTCCACGTTCTAGCAGATGGATTTTTTTCAAGATGTGGCATTATGACCGCTAGAATATTGCAGCGAGGCTGTGACATGGAATATCTCATGTGAATTATTATTTTTTAAAACAAATCATTTTAGGTTTTGTTTTTTTAAATAGATGTTATTGGCTTTTTACAGAGAGGAAGGGAGAGGGACAGAGTCCTAGAAATATCGATGAGAGAGAATCACCAATCAGCTAGCTGCCTCTTGCACACCGCCCACTGGGGATGTGCCCGCAACCAAGGTCCATGCCCTTGACCGGAATCGAACCCGGGACCCTTCCGCCCGCAGGCTGACGCTCTGCCCACTGAGCAGAACCTGCAATGAGCAGACCTGCCCCCTGACCCTCCCAGTGGCCATCGTGTCCCTCCGATATTCTCGGTGGGCCGTTGGCTCTGTGGGTCTGGCTCAGACACAGGCCAGCGTGCTGCACACATTCCCCCCGGAAGTAAAATAGTTATTTTATTTCTCTCTCACGTATAAGAACCAAGAGCTCTCTATTGCCAGTGAGCAAGTTCTGAGAGACCAGCCCGCCCGCGCACCGGTGAGTTCCCAGGGCACATCGGCGTCTCCGATCCTCGGCCAGCATGGGCGCCTGGGGCTGCTGGGCCTGTGAGACGCGCTCCCATCAATCACGGGAATATAAACCAATCACGGGGAATCTATTTTCTGTTTATACTCTCTCTCTTTAAAAAAAAAAAAATAATATATATATATATATATATATATATATATATATTTTTTTTTTTTTTTTTTCATTTTTTACAGAGAGGAGGGGAGAGGGAGAGAGGGTTAGAAACATCGATGAGAGAGAATCATCGAGCAGCCGCCTTCTGCACGCCCCCCACTGGGGATGTGCCCGCCACCAAGGTCCATGCCCTTGACCGGAATCGAACCTGGGACCCTTCCGTCCGCAGGCGGACGCTCTATCCACTGAGCAAACCAATTAGGACTATTATTATGATTATTTTTAAAAATATATTTTTATTGATTCCAGAGAGGAAGGAGAGGGAGAGAGAGAAACATCAAGGATGAGAGAGAATCATGGATCACCTGCCTCCTGCATTTCCCCCCCCTCCCCCTCTGGGGACGTGCCCTTGACCGGAACCAAACCTGGAACCTCTCAGTCCGCACGCCGACGCTCCATCCACTGAGCCACACCGGCTTCGGCGATCTCTCTCCCCTTGTTCTCCCTCCCCCGAGGACGGGCACGTGGCCTGTGGGGACGCGTCAGGATTGGCAATGGCCCTCCCAGGCCCCGTCTTTAACCCTGACACAGTATCCAGGAGGTCCCCCTGGGACTCCGGCGGGGACGTGGTTCTGGAGACGGATATGAACAGAAAATACAGCCGTTCTGGTGATTCGCGGGCACGCTGATTCGGGGGTGGGACGCGGGCGGGCATGCACCGTGCGCTTTCTTAACCCACCCCCGTGGCGATCTGTCCTGCCGCTTTCCATAGCGAAGCTGACTCGTGTTTGTGTAGAAGGCAGGGGAAGTGTGAAGGCCGAAGCGTTTTGATGATGAGAGAGAAACACCGACCAGCTGCCTCCTGCACGCCCCCCACAGGGGATGTGCCCGCCACCAAGGTCCATGCCCTTGACTGGAATCGAACCCGGGACCCTTCAGTCCGCAGGCCGACGCTCTATCCACTGAGCCACACCGGTTCCGGCTTAAATGTGTTTTTAAGTCTATAAATGTAGAGACGTCTGTGCAACAACGAAGAGATAATGTATCCTAACAGTAGCAGGCTTCTTCGTCTTAAACTGCTTTTAGGACTTCCGTTTTAATTTTAAAATTCGATATGTTCAACCAGCACTTCATTCTTTTTTAAAACAATATATATTTTGTTAAAGTTTTACAGAAAGGAAGGGAGAAGGGATAGAGAGTTAGACACATCGATGAGAGAGAAACATCCACCAGCTGCCTCCTGCACGCCCCCCACCGGGGATGTGCCCGCCACCAAGGTCCATGCCCTTGACCGGAATCGAACCTGGGACCCTCCAGTCCGCAGGCCGACGCTCTATCCACTGAGCCACACCTGTCAGGGCAGCGCATAATTCTTTATTATGAGGACGTGATTGTTGGATCTCCTTTACACCTCATTGAAATAATCTTTCGAATGCAGCCGGTGCTGAGCACGAGTCCTAGTGCGTATAGACTCAGCCGCTGTGTTTTTTTTTTTTTTTAATTTTTTAAATTTTTCTTTTCACCCGCGCTGTGTGCGGTGCCGCCCGCCGTGATCTCGCTCCTCCTGTGCTTCACTCGCCGACAGCACTCCTGCTTCATCGCCCCCGACCTGTCCGGGCTGCCCACCATCCCCGAGAGCGTAAGTGTCCGCGTCCTCACGTCCTTATTCTGGTCGCCGCCTGGGCTTTGTTTCTCGCTGTTCGAGGATTCCTGGGCAGAGAAATAGGATGTGGAGTGACTCTGTGTGTTTCTGAGAAATAATGAAGAGATGAGGAGAAACGTGGCTCCCTCTCTCTCTCTCTCTCTCTCTCTCTCTCTCTCTGTCTCTCTCCTTTCTCCCTCTCTCTCTCTCTCTCTCCTTTCTCTCTCTCTCTCTCATGTTCCCTACTTTACCTCTTTCTGAATGCTGGGGTGTAGTCAGGAAAATGGTATGAGAACCCCTCTTTCCACCTATTGATGTAGTTCAGAGCATCACACACGGAGTGGCCAGATGATGATGGTCTCTGATGAGATGTGTGTTTGTGTATGTGTGTGTGTGTGTGTGTGTGTGTGTGTGTGTACACAAACATATATATATGTTAGAGGCCCAGAGCATGAATCCATGCATGGGTGGGGTCCGGCCAGCCTGGCCAGGGGGAGGGGACATGGGCGGTCGGCCTGCCTGCCTGCTGGTCGCACTGCTGGCCGAGGGGACAATTTGCATATGAGCCTTTTATTCTATAGGACGGACACTGAGTGGCTGGATTATTATGTGTTCAGGGATCGTCATCATCTGGCCACTCAGTGTGTGTGTGTGTGTGTGTGTGTGTGTGTATCTATTTCTTTCTATCATCTATCTATCTATCTATCTATCTATCTATCTATCTATCTATCTATCTATCAGAGGCCCGGTGCATGAATCCGTGCATGGATTGGGTCGGCCAGCCTGGCCAGGGGGAGGGTATGTGGGCAGTTGGCCAACCTGCCTGCTGGTCGCACTCCTGGTCAAGGGAACCATTTGCCTATGAGCCTTTTATGCTATAGGATGGACACTGAGTGGCCTGGTTATTATGTGTTCAGGGATCGTCATCATCTGGCCACTCCATATGTGTGTGTGTGTGTGTGTGTGTGTGAATCTGTGTGTATCTATATCTATCTATCATCTGTCTATCTATCTATCTATCTATCTATCTATCTGAGACCTGGTGCATGAATTCGTGCATGGATGGGGTCGGGCCAGCCTGGCCAGGGGGAGGGGACATGGGCGGTCGGCCGGCCTGCCTGCTGGTTACACTCCTGGTCGAGGGGACCATGTGCCTATGAGCCTTTTACTCTATAGGACGGACACAGAGTGCCTGGGTGATGATGCGTTCAGAGATCATCCTCATCATCACCCGGCCACTCCGAGTAGATAAAAATAAATAAATAATAAATAAGACCCTTCTCCGTGTGGGTCGCGTCCCGTGGTCCCCCCCCCCTCCCGCCCACGTGGCGCCGTGGCGCGCTCACCGGCCTCCCTCCCTCCCTCCCTCCCTCCCTCCTGCAGCGGAACCTCACGGAGTACTTCGTGGCCGTGGACGTGGGCAACATGCTGCAGCTGTACGCCAGCATGCTGCTGGAGCGCCGCATCCTCATCGCCTCCAGCAAGCTCAGCACCGTGAGTACCGCCCCGTCGCCTAGGCAACCGCCTCCGCGCGCATCGCCAAGGGCCCCGCATCCCGCCGTCCGGCCCCCAGCGTGCCTGGGCCGACGCAGGCCCGTCCCCGTGTCCCAGGAGACCAGCGGCCGTCCCGAGGCCTCTCGGGGACGAAAGTCTGCCTGATGGGTCTGCGCATGGAGCCGGGCTCATTCTTTCTTCCCGGATGCAGGAGACGAGAGCGGGGTGTGTGTGTGTGTGTGTGTGTGTGTGTGTGTGTGTTCTTCTCTCCTCCCCCTCCGTTTTTCTTTTTAACCATCCCGCGTTCATTTGCCTGCCTCCCGCCTCAGAAAGAACGCTGAAGGGCTGTTATGCGATGGTGGTGATTATTCCCTTGTGGCTCGTTCCTGAAAACGAGCACTTTGCCTGAAAAGGACCCAGCCTCCCCCCCCCCCCCCCCTCCGAGAATTAGCGGCTCCCCCATCCCGGCCGTCGGTGGGGATGGCTCTTTGTTGCCGAGCGCCGCTGCGGCCGAAGGTTCTATAGGCGTCGAGGCGTGGAGGGGATCTTCGGGCGGAAAATAGCGTAGAAGTCAAAGCGGCATGATTATTTGTTCTTTTCTGTTTTTTATTATGAATCACCCGTCGCCCGCCGCTCGCTGGGATGGGCGGCAGGGCCTCTCGACGGCCGGGCCCGCGGAGGGAGAATCGGAGAGAGATTATTTATTAGCCATTGACATCAAAAAGAAATGCGCCTTTTGCTGCATTTCCTGTGTGTGTGTGTGTTTTTTTTTTCTTCCTGCTTTCGATAATGTCGTTTTTCATACGTCCGATCGGCGGAACATGTTAATTATCCGCCTGGCGGTGAGCGCGAAGGGTGAGATATTTATGAGAACCATTTAAGACGGCGCGGGTTTGCTGGCGTGAGCGTTTGGGTAGCGGGTGAACATAAGGGAACACACACACACGCACACACACACGCGTTGTGTTCTGAAAGTAGAGAGAAACACTGTGAAGTTTGGTGTTTGCGAAGGGAGGCAGTTCCAGGATCTCTCCAGGGGGGTCTGTTGTGTATTGAGTGGTGGGAGAGGTGTCATCAGAGACGGTACATGCCCATCGCAGGGCCTCGGACAGGCCATGGGATCTGGGTTTTCTGATTCCGATGTTGGGTTGTTCCCCGCACGCTACCATCGAAAAACACACACACACAAAACACACAGTTTGGAGATTTTCGAATTGCAATGTCGAAGGCTCACTTCTTCAAACGAAACTGAAGATAGATTATTTTACATCTTTTTAAAAAAAAATGTATTTTATTGGTTTTTTTTTACAGAGAGGAAGGGAGAGGGATAGAGAGATACAGGAACATCGATGAGAGAGAAACATCCATCCGCTGCCTCCTGCACGCCCCCCACTGGGGATGTGCCCGCCACCAAGGTCCATGCCCCTGACCGGAATCGAACCCGGGACCCTCCAGTCCGCAGGCCGACGCTCCATCCACTGAGCCACACCGGGCTGGGCTGATCTGGGTTTTCTGATTCTGATTTTGGGTTGTTCCCGTCACGCTACCATCGAAAAAAAAAAAACACAGTTTGGAGATTTTCGAATTGCAATGTCGACGTGCTCACTTCTTCAAACAAAACTGGAGAGGGGTTGCTGTACATCTTGAACGTAAGAGAGGAAGCATGGAGGGGGTGCCAGGCGCTCTGTCCGCCGAGCCACACCGACGAGGGCCCATGAGGATGTGTCTGTGTGTTGGAGCGTCACGCCCGGGCCCTCTCAGCTCTGTGCTCATCCTGTCGGGGCATCCACCCGTCGCCAAGTACACAGCGGGGCAGGGGGGCGCTCGGGCGTCAGAGAACGTGGGTGTCATCCGTGCAGCAGACCGGCACGTCCCCCGGGCTGCGCATGTGTGTGTGTGTGTGTGCGTGTGTGTGTGTGTGTGTGTGTGTGTGTGCGCGCGCCCTCGGCCGGCGGGCGGGACATGGGAGCAGCGATCCGTCATGATCGAACACACGTCGACCCCCCCGCTCCCTGCCGCTCAGCGCCCGCGGCCGGAACGGCGCTGTCGGGAGTCGTGTCTCCCGCGGCCGAGCGTGCTGAGCTGTCACCGCCTCCGTGACGGCCCTCGGACCCGGAACCAGCCAGGCGGGGCCGGCGGCTGTCTCTGACAGGCCCTCCCGTCACGCTGTCAGCCACACGCTAACGAGGGGCCCCTCCGTGGCCGGGAGCGGGGGAGGGGGGTGAGGGGGAGGGGGGGTGAGGGGGAGGGGGGGGTGAGGGGGCGGGGGGGTGAGGGGTGGGGTGGGAGGGGGGTGAGGGGGAGGGGGGGTGAGGGATGGGGTGGGGGTTGAGGGGGAGGGGGGGTGAGGGATGGGGTGGGAGGGGGGTGAAGGGGAGGGGGAGGGGGGGGGAGGGGGGGTGGGGAGTGAGGGGGAGGGGGGGTGAGGGGTGGGTGAGGGGTGAGGGGGCGGGGGGTGAGGGGTGGGTGGGGGGAGCCGAGTGCCTCTCTCTCAGGCAGATCTCTCATCCTGGGCTCCTGTTCAGACCCGAGTTAGTTCCAGAGATTGGAGAGTGGGTAATAGGCAATATACCGTGTGTGTGTGTGTATGTGTGTATGTGTGTGAGGGTGTGTATGTGTGTATATGTGCACGTGTGTGTATGTGTGCACGTCTGTGAGAGTGTGTGTGTATGTGTGTGTGAGTGTGTGTGTGTAAGTGTATGTGTGCATGTGTGTGAGAGAGTGTGTGTGTGAGTGTGTGAGTGTGTGTGCACATGTGTGTGAGAGTGTGTGTATGTGTGTGTGTGTGAGTGTGTGTGAGAGTGTGTGTGTGAGTGTGTGTGTAAGTGTATGTGCACATGTGTGTGAGAGTGTGTGTATGTGTGTGTGTGAGTGTATGTGTGCATGTGTGTGAGAGAGTGTGTGTGTGTGTGTGTGTGTGTGTGAGTGTGCACCTGCGTGCTGGAATTGTGTTAAGAAACTGTAATGCCGGCCGAAGCCGGTGTGGCTCAGTGGACAGAGCGTCGGCCTGCGGACCGAGGGGTCCCGGGTTCGATTCCAGTCAAGGGCACGGACCTTGGTGGCGGGCCCGTCCCCAGGGGGGGCGCTGGGGAGGCAGCTGGCCGGTGATGGTCAGCGGCGGGGACAGGGCCGTGCTGACCGTCCTCAGAGGCGCCTGCCCAGCAGAGGGAAGTCACCCCCGGAGGCCAGCCCGGAGCTGGCCTGGTTGGGGCCTCGGGTGAGTCAGTGATGACCTCCGGCGGGGGGCGTGGACAGCGGGCGGCGGACTCGGGCTCCGGGTGTGGCCGGGAAGATAGGTGACCCGAGTCCAGGCCTCGCCTGGAAGACGTGTGTCCTTCCTCTGTCCCCCTGTCCGTCCGTCCCCCCAGCCTCCCGGGGCGCGGCCCTTTCCAGTGTGGAACCCCTCGAGCCGTGTCCAGGCCGTGTGTCCAGGAGGGGGCGCTGCCGGAAGGGAGGGGCGGTCAGGTCCGCTCGGTGGGGTTACGGCCGTCCTGGGCCGCGGCCGGCAAACCGGCGGCTCTTCCACCGAACACCGTGGCCCGGGCGGGCCCGTGTGGAAGACGTGGCCTTAGGAGACGTTTAAGCTTAAAAAACGTGGCTCTCCAGAGACATGTCCATTGTTGTGCTGTTGTTTGGCTCTGTGGACGGATGAGTTTGCCGACCACAGGGGTTGGGGGGCGGGGGTTGGGGGCCGGAGGCTGTGGGGGGTTGGTTAGGGGGCCTGCGGGGGGGGCGGGGGCTGTGGGGGGTTGGTTAGGGGGCCTGTGGGGGGGGGGCTGTGGTGGGTTGGTTAGGGGGCCTGTGGGGGGGGCGGGGGCTGTGGGGGGTTGGTTAGGGGGCCTGCGGGGGGGGGCGGGGGCTGTGGGGGGTTGGTTAGGGGGCCTGCGGGGGGGGCGGGGGCTGTGGGGGGTTGGTTAGGGGGCCTGTCCTCACCGGGGTGTCCTCTCCCCTCCCCAGCTGACTGCCTGTCTGCACGGCTCGGCTGCTCTGCTGTACCCCATGTTCTGGCAGCACATTTACATCCCCGTGCTGCCGCCCCACCTGCTGGACTACTGCTGGTGAGCACCCCCAACCCTGTGCCCCTCAAATCCCCTCCAACCCTGTCCCCCCAAACACCCCCAACCCTGTCCCCTCAAACACCCCCAACCCTGTCCCCCCAAACACCCCTCCTGTGCCCCCCAAACACCCCCAACCCTGTGCCCCTCAAATCCCCTCCAACCCTGTCCCCCCAAACACCCCCAACCCTGTCCCCCCCAAACACCCCCAACCCTGTGCCCCTCAAATCCCCTACAACCCTGTCCCCCCAAACACCCCAACCCTGTGCCCCTCAAATCCCCTCCAACCCTGTCCCCCCAAACACCCCCCCTGTGCCCCCCAAACACCCCCAACCCTGTGCCCCTCAAATCCCCTCCAACCCTGTCCCCCCAAACACCCCCCCTGTGCTCCCCAAACACCCCCAACCCTGTGCCCCTCAAATCCCCTCCAACCCTGTCCCCTCAAACACCCCCAACCCTGTGCCCCCAAATACCCCCAACCCTGTCCCCCCAAACACCCCCCTCCCCGCTCCCCGCCGGCTCCTGGAGCCGGGTCACGCCGGGAGAAAGCCCACTTCTTCTCTAAATATAATCTTACTGATGTCAGAGAGGAAGGGAGAGAGAGAGAGAGAAACATCAGGGATGAGAGGGAATCATGGATCGGCTGCCTCCTACACCCCCCACTGGGGATGGAGCCCGCCACCCGGGCCTGTGCCCTGACCGGGAATTGAACCCTGGCCTCCTGGTTCCTAGGTGGATGCTCACCCACTGAGCCACGGGGAGCTTGAGGTGTACCTATGTGCCTGGACATGTGTGTCCACACGATGTGTACGTATGTGCCGAACGTGCTGTGTCCACACGATGTGTACATATGTGCCTGAATGTGTACCTATGATGTGTACACATGTCCTCCCTCTGGCTTTTCCGTCCCTTTTGTTGAGATTAAAATGATAGGATACACCCTTATGCCCTACGCGGGAAACACCAGTAAAAGCCAATCAGTGAATGTAGGGCTCACAGGTGCGGCTGCTTCAATTACTCATATCTAATAATTAGCTCTGGTTCTTCAGAGCAATTAAGGTTGACCAGCGCTCCGGACTCCCCGTCCACAGCTCTCTGTTATTAAAACAATGATTGGCTTCTGGCAGATGTTTCTCTCTCTCTCTCTCCCTTCGTCTCTCTGAAGCCAGTGAGAACATATTTAAAAGCGTTCCGTTTTTTATAAATAGCGATCTATTTGGGTATTTCCTATCACCGTTGTAGACACCTGCCCGTTCTCATGGTTTCTCATCAACAGAATTAAAAAATATATTTTATTGATTGTTTACAGAGAGGAAGGGAGAGGGATAGAGGGTTAGAAACATCGACGAGAGAGAAACATCCATCAGCTGGCCCCTGCACACTCCCTACTGGGGATGTGCCCGCCACCAAGGTCCATGCCCTTGATCGGAATCGAACCCGGGACCCTTCAGTCCCACACCGGTTAGGGCTCAAACAGAATTTTAATTTTGAGATGTCAAGTTGAGCGATTTCCTTCTTCTAGTTCATGAGGAATGTCTTTTAGATGAGTGGAGAGTCTGATTGTAGGTGTTATGAACGTAATTAGGGTCCTCCTACGCTGGCCTTTGCTGAACACTCAAGGGGCCCAAGAGCCACATGTGGCTCGCGAGCCGCAGTTTGCCGACCACTGGCCTAGACCCCAATATTATTCTTCATCGGTAATGTGTGTGTGTGTTTTTTTTTTTTAAAGGCATTCCATTTCTCGATTGACTTAGCAATGGCTTTGTGATTTTTTAAAATATGTACATCACCCTTCACGTGAATCCATTCATGGCCTTTCCATTTGAATTGTATGTAGAAAGTAATTTAACATACCTCTACCATGCTAGAGCAGTGCCTGTGAGTAATTTCCAGCGTGCAGAGTTACGTGCGCTGCTGTTTCAGTTTGAATGAACTGGGAACATGTGGCTTCTTTTTTATTTTATTTTTTATTTAATGCAGTGCTCCGATGCCCTACCTGATTGGTGTACACTCCAGCCTGCTAGAGGTGAGTATCCGTTGGCCAGAAGATAGTGGTCAATGCACTCCAAAAAATAACGGTTTATGCAGCCACACTTCAAAAGAATATCCGTCGACCAGCACAAAGGGCGACTAATTTTATGTCATCCTCTCGTGGCCATTTTAAAAAAGGTAACAGAAGTAACATCAATGACATTTTTTTTTTATACCAAATGAGCATCTTCAATGGCACTGAAAATAGGTTACCGGTGTGGCTCAGTGGATAGAGCGTCGGCCTGCAGACTGAGAGGTCCCGGGTTCAATTCCGGTCAAGGGCATGGACCTTGGTGGTGGGCACATCCCCGGTGGGGGGGTGTGCAGGAGGCAGCTGGTCGATGTTTCTCTCCCATCAATGTTTCTCACACTCTATCCCTCTCCCTTCCTCTCTGCAAACAATCAATAAAATATATTTTAAAAAGTGGGTTACCTCTGGTGGAAATCACACACGGTCAAGTGTCAAATCCGGGAAACTTTCGTTCTTAAGGAACCACTATTTGGTTTCATCGCAAATGAGAAGGGACCACGAGAAAGGCTCTGAGACGGTTGGTACTTTTTAGTAACTTCCTCCTTATTCTATTCGGAGATGTTTCGCAAGCCCCAGTTCCATTCTTATCCGGTCATTATTGGCAGATTTCTTTCACTAAAATTTTGATATTTATATAAGTGGTCCTACAATTAAAATGTAGGTATACCTACTTACATGCTTTTAAAAATACATATATATTTTATTGTGGTGTGTTGTTTTTTTTTACAGAGAGGAAGGGAGAGGGATAGAGAGTCAGAAACATCAACGAGAGAGAAACATCCATCAGCTGCCTCCTGCACACCCCCCACTGGTACATGCCCTTGACCAGAATCGAACCCGGGACCCTTGAGTCCGGAGGCCGACACTCTCTCCACTGAGCCGCACCAGGCAGGGCTACGTATAGGTGAGGCTGAAGTGAGTAACGCTTCGCATCTTAATCGGCTGCAATTGCAACGATTTTTTTTTTTTTTTAAAGGCAGAATCACATAGTCTCTCATTCTCTCTCTCAGCCAAGGCCATTCAAGACTTGTAAGCATCTTTGTTCGAAGCTCTGAGACGACTGACCTTTTCCATTTCCTTTTAATTATTTCCCTGTAATCGTGAGCATAAAAGAGGGCCAGCCGTCTCTTTTGAAAGCGGGGGGACTCTTCCCAAGAGAAGGGTCAGGACAGTTTGTTCTGCTTGCAAACCGGACTGGAGGGATGCCCCCGAGGCTGGCGGAGGCCGGCTGGCGATTAGGAACGGAAAAAATGTGTAAGGTCCATATTCCACATGGAGACTACGGCTTTCTTATTAACAAAATAAGCCTTTACTAAAGACGACCATTTTGCAAGCGCATTTAAAATTCGCAGAGACTTGAGAAATCCCGAATGAATCAGAGAAATTTTAGTCCTGCCTAACTTTAAAATGAAATAATTGGTCTGGCCAATGTAAAATGCAAAGGATTTCATCATTCTCAAAAAAAAAAAAAAAAAAAAAAAAATGACGAGTATTCTGGAATGTCACCTTAAAAATAAGATGCTGACGTTAACTGACCTATTGCTAGGGGACCTATACAGTTCTGGGGTTCTGAGTTGGCGGATACATTTTATTATAAAGAACACCTTATTTGCATTAGGGAATAAGACACGTTGCTACCCTGTTTCCCCGAAAATAAGACAGTGTCTTATATTAATTTTTTCTCCCAAAGTTGCGCTAGGTCTTATTTTCAGGGGGTGTCTTATCTTTCCATGCGCTAGGTCTTATTTTTGGAGGATGTCTTATTTGCGGGGAATCACAGTATCATCTATAAAAGACTAATGGAATTCTATGATGTAAGCATACATGTTTTAGGTTAAATAGGAACCATAAGCTTCAAATAGTTTCTTTAGGGATGAAAATTTCGATGAAATTCTAATTCCCTGTTATGTGTACACATTGAGATAATTTGTACAGACCTCCATTATGATTGATGCTAAAAAAATATATATATATCTAGGTATAGAACCGGACACACACCTATATCAAAGATCGAAATTCACTTCATCAAATGAAAGCATAGAACGCTGCACAGTGTAATCTAACCATGCCCACTTTGTAAGCCTTCGCTGTGAGGCGCCTTCGGTCGCTAAATTATCGATACATCATCTCCTCCAAACCACGTCAGTAGGTTGAGATGCGAAGACAGACCCCTGAAACATTTTCGACCCAACCTTTCTGAATGGTTAGAGAGGAGATATTTTTTCTCATAAAGCCAAGTTGTTTACATTCTTTCTTTTTTTTTAAGACACCTAATAGTTTTATTTTATTTTTTATTTTAAAATACATTTTATTGATTTTTTTTTTTTACAGAGAGGAAGAGTTAGAAACATCGATGAGAGAGAATCATCCATCAGCTGCCCCCCGCACACCCCCGCACTGGGGATGTGCCCGCCACCAAGGTCCATGCTCTTGACCAGAATTGAACCCGGGACCCTTGAGTCCACAGGCGGACGCTCTATCCACTGAGCTGCCCTTTCTAAGCTGGGGGTAGCTTTCGGAGGGACAGAGAACCCCGCTGATCAACGCTGTTGTTTTGAAACAGAGAGTGAGGAGCAAGTCCCTGGAGGACGTGGTGATTCTCAACGTGGACACCAACACCTGGGAGTCGCCGTTCCGCGACCTGGACAGCCTTCCCAGCGACGTGGTGAGTCCGGGGGGGGGACGGCTGAGTTGTCCCCGCGCGTCTTCATCGTTACCCTGTTTCCCCGAAAAGAAGACAGTGTCCTATATTCATGTTTGCTCCCAAAGACGCGCTAGGTCTTATTTCCAGGGGGTGTCTTATGTTTCCATGAAGAAGAATACGGTGCACATTTATGGTTCAATGAAAACAAAGGAAATGTATTCCCTGTGTACGGTACGGCAGCACGGTTGTTGTCCACACAAACACAGACACACTGTGAATCCTACAGCATCAAGAATGTACCCATGGACTCAACGACAAGCGTGTCATCCTCTTCTGGAACATCGTCCTAACCTTCCAATTCCTGGATTTCCCGGTGAATTTCTTGGGACTCCGTTTCTTTCAGAATCAGTGGGCCACATCTCTCATGGTTAGCAATAGAATTCTGAGACAGAGCCTGGGAGGGGGGCGGAGGGGCTTATTTTCGAGGGGGATGCCTTATAGTTCACCCAGAAGGAAACCTGTACGTAGGTCTTATTTTCGGGGAAACACCGTCTCGCCAGCGACACTTCGGCAAGTAACTTGAACAGGTGTCTTTTATTTCGGAAATACATAGGCGCCCCCCCCCCCCCTCGCCTTGTTGGGAAAGGAAGCGAGTTTGGGATCGTAGCAGCGAGAGGCAGGGAATCCGTCTCCTTGCGACGCTTACGAGGAAATAACCGCCCGCCAGCTCTTGCCCGTGAAGGCAGGACAGAATGGACATCGGACAGTCATGTGCCTTCCATCCGGATGTAAAAATAGGACACGCAGACCCCCCACCCCCCACGCGTATAAACTCTGAGATCAAGGGGGTCTGGCATGTGTGTGTGTGTGGGGGGGGGGAACATCCTCCTGGGGGTGGGGGGGTCTGCGTGTCCTATTTTTACCTCCTCGGCAGCTGGGGAGACGCCCAGAGGAGCAGCACGCTCCTCCCCGGAGAAGCTGGCCCCTCGTTAACGAGCCGGGCTCCTTCATTAGGCCGCGCTTCTCGAGACGGGGTCCCCCCGCCTTCTCCCTCTCCCTCTCATCCTCATCATTATCCTCCAAAGCAGGCCTCGCTGCTGTCTGCCCGGTGGCATGTCTTGCCAGAGAAAACGGGGGGAGAGTCTTTTTTTTTTTTTTTTTTTTGAAGGAAAAGAGAGAGAAGGAAGCCAATTACCGGGCCTCGCGTCCCCGCCACCTGCCAGCGCCCGCGCCTTTAATTAATGATCCGACGGCGGCCCCCGTCAGGCTCATCAGACATGCGGAGGGGACCGGCGGGGTCAGGACTCGCCGCCTTTGATCCCCCCTCCCCGTCTCCCCTCCCCTGGGCGCTCCTGAAACATTTATTTGTTTTCCCCTAAATTATTTCAGTTTGCGTTTTGTTTTCATCATCTTCCCCTCCCCGGTCCGGTCCTGCTGGGGGCGGCGGCCGGCGTGTCCCGGGCCCGGGCCTGGGCTTGGGGCTCTGGGTGTCAGTGAAACGGCCGCCCCGTTTGTCATGAAAGACATCGGGGTCTTTTGAAAGGAAGGACGAGAGGCCGGGGAAAGGCTGATGAATGAAGTGCCGGGTCTTTGATCTTGGCAGAGGGCGCGTGTGTGCGTGTGCGTGTGCGTGTGTGTGTGTGTGTGTGTGTGTGTGTGTACGCGCGCACACGTGTGTGTCTGCAGCTTATAACAGGCTGGGTTCTGTATTTCGTGTTACACAGTCCCCCAAAGTGCGTTTGATGGCCTTTGTGTGCTGACGACAGGACCCTCGCCAAAAAAATATACGCAGGCCGGGATTGCTTCTGAGCGGCGGTTGAAAAATAACCTTTAGAGCCACATGCGAGGTTAAAGGAGACGGCTCCCCTCCCCACACCCCCTCCTCTTTTTTAATTTTTTTAAATTTTATTAAAATCCATTCTCTTCAGAGGTATTAAAACGGGAGAAGAAACAAAACCTCCAGAATATATTATTTCCGCCCCCCCCCCCCCCCCTCGTCAGATGGCAAGTGTGTTTGAAATCATGGTGAGGGACTTTGGAAAAAACGGAATTTTTAAAATATCTCGTACTCAAAACACACACACACAGAAAATACAGTGAAATTAAACCTGATTGTGTTTATGGCTCAGGATAGGGAGATAGGGCTTGAAGTCCAGATCAGGCGGCGTATAAATAAATAACCCTGAAAGCTGGCTGACCTTGAGGCAAATTAAACCGAACCTCTTTATGGTGGCGAAGTGAAAGGAATGCCACGTACGGACAGACCCGCACCCCGCTCGGCGGAGAGTTTTGTTGTGTTTTGAGCTCATTATAGCTCGATTGCCTCATTATAAAAAATTTCGCAGAAGCCGCAAGGAATGATTAGAGCTGTTCGGCTGGAAATCCGTCAAAGTCGCCCTAGCCGGGCAGAGACATAATTATGAAAATGAAGGGAATACAACTTTTAAGGGTGTTTTCTTTATGTGCGTGTATTCCCTGCTCGTGAAACCCTAAGGAGGAAGGATTGTTCAGTGAAAAAAAAAAAAGAAGAAGAAGAAGAAGAAGAAGACAGAGGAGAAGGAGGAGGAGGAAAAATGAGAGAGAAATCAGCGTTTTTTATTTGTGTCACAATAAAATTTGTAGTCCCGTTAACGATGGCTCCTTTTCTCTTGGAGAGAAAGAATCTTTCAAGGTAATTGTTTTGATGGGTGGTTCTTTTTTTTTTTTTTTTTTTTAATAAAATATATTTTATTGATTTTTTACAGAGAGGAAGGGAGAGAGATAGAGAGTTAGAAACATCGGTCAGCTGCCTCCTGCACGCCCCCCACTGGGGATGTGCCCGCCACCACGGTCCATGCCCTTGACCGGAATCAAACGAGGGAACCCCTCAGTCTTCAGGCCGAGGCTCCATCCACTGAGCCACACCGGTTTTGGCTCCTACTTATTGTCTTAAAAATGTTGCCGATGGCTGCTTCACCATCTCTCACACACGTAGCGTCATCCTTCTCTTTCCCTACGCCGTCTCCTACAGCAGGTAAGGGGACAGGATCACGTATGAAGTCCTCTGCCCCAATATATTTTTTCCCCTGTAATATGGCACATGTTTTGAAATCATGATGAGGGAGTTTGAAAAGATGGGATTCAAAAAAATCTCACACTCAAAAAAAAATAAAAATTAAACAACAACAACAACACACAGCTGAAACCGGTTTGGCTCCGTGGATAGACCGTCGGCCTGCAGACTCAAGAGTCCCGGGTTCGATTCCGGCCAAGGGCATGTGCCTTGGTTGCGGGCACATCCCCAGTGGGAGGTCTGCAGGAGGCGGCTGATGGATGTTTCTCTTTCATCGATGTTTCTAACTCTCTATCCTTCTCCCTTCCTCTCTGTAAAACATCAATAAAATATGTGTGTGTTTTTTTTTTAAAAAAATACAGTAAAACTAACCCTGATGGTGCTTATGGCTCGTGATCGGAGAACAGGACTCACGTCCACATCAGGTGCACGTCTGTATTCCCTGCCGGACATGCTTTCGGCGATGTCACACCCCGGAGTCCTCTGTGTGTGTGATGGGAGTTCATACACCATGCCGAAACCGGTGTGGCTCAGTGGATAGAGCGTCGGCCTGCAGACTGAAAGGTCCCGGGTTCGATTCCGGCCAAGGGCATGTGCCTTGGTGGCGGGCACATCCCCAGTTAGGAGGTGTGCAGGAGGCAGCTGATCGACGATTCTCTCTCATCGATGTTTCTGGCTCTCTATCCCTCTCCCTTCCTCTCTGTAAAAAAATCAATAAAATCTATTAAAAAAACAAAACAAACAAAAACAGGCCTGTGACCCCAAACCACGGGCCGGCCGGCGGGCGGCGTCTGGCGGTCCCGTAAATTAGCGGGCGGTTCGCCGGGGACCTTTTCAGACGGCGGCCGGATGGGCCGGGGGCCATGTGCTGCCGATTACGGGCCGGGCCCGGCCGCGGCCCCCGGGTCAGCGGTCACAGTTGTGCTGCATTACGGTCCCTCCTCCCGGGGACCCTCCGCTGTAATCTGCCTAATGGCCCCGTCCCCGTATTCGCACGGAATGGCGGGGATTTATGGGCTGCGAGAAATACGGCCGGCCGGTAGCAGTTCCGCTGCCGAGGAGCTCGAAATTGGGGACATCAATCAATCAGGCCCGGCGAGCGGGGCCTTGGTGCGCCTCCGGGGAGCGGGATGGGGGCGAGGGGGGCGCGAGGGGCGGACTCCCCCCTCTGCCTCCCGACGGGAGCACTTGCGTTTCGATCCCATCCTTTCACTGCACACGTGGGTCGCCCCCGGGGAAGCGGGACGCAGGTCTGATCGGGGGGCGATTTGATCGAGATACAGATTATCAGCTCGGAATCGCCTCTGAAAAGCCGGGGGTCCGGGCAGGGGGGCTGTGGGGCCGTGCGGGTCTGCGAGGGCTTCGTGGTTTTGTCTTTCTGTTGGTGGGTCTTTGTTGCTGTTGTTTTTTTTTATTTTTTGTTTTGTTAAACATTTGTATTTTTATTTAATTTTTTCTTATTTTTCTGTTTGTTGAGGTATTCTATTATGGTGTGCATGTTGCTGTTTTTTTGTTGTTGTTTTGTGTGTGTGTGTGTGTGTGTGTGTGCTGATTTTATTTGTTATTGGCTGTGCCAAATACAGAGACGTCCAAATATGTGTAGTTTGAGTGTTTGGAAATAAAAAAAAAAAAAGAGTCTATTTTAGGGCTATAAACAGTATCCATTGAAGTTAGTATTATTGTGTTAGGTTTCTTTTTGTTGTTGTTGTTGTTGTTATTGTTTTTAATCTATTTTATTGATTTTTCACAGAGAGGAAGGGAGAGGGATTGAGAGCTAGAAACATCGATGAGAGAGAAACATCGGCCAGCTGCCTCCTGCACACCCCCCACTGGGGATGTGCTCGCAACCAAGGTCCATGCCCCTGACCGGAATCGAACCCGGGACCTTTCAGTCCGCAGGCCGACGCTCTATCCACTGAGCCACACCGGTTTTGGCGAGTTAACTCTTAAGATTCCCTAGACAAGCCTCCCTCCTTGTTAAGGAAACATCCCACTGGCCTGTTTGATTTAAATTCGGATTTTCTGCCGGGCTGCTTCTCACCACGTCTAGAATCCCGCTGGAAAGTGATTTCCCATTTCGTACACGGAGGGTGTGTGGAAAAGAGGTGCATTTAAGAGTCAGCGTGCAGCCCCGACCGGTGTGGCTCAGTGGATGGAGCGTCGGCCTGCGAACAGAAGGGTCCCGGGTTCGATTCCGGTCAAGGGCATGGACCTTGGTGGCGGGCACGTCCCCGGTGGGATGTTTCTATCTTCCTCTCCCTTCCTCTCCGAAATCGATACAAGTGTCTTTTTAAACAAGTGACACAGAATGCTAATCGCATCCCATGCCCACCCTGCTCCAATTCACACTTGAAATAAAATGCAGATTCTTTTTTAAAAAACAAAAAAGCATAAAATCAACTTCCGTCTGCACCCGGGGAGCCTGGCAGACGCGGAGAGACCCGCTCCTGGAGGCAGCCCGCCCCGTCTGGCCTTCCCGCCGGACGGTGACCGTCCCGGCTCCGTCCCTCCTCCCTCCTCCCTCCTCCCTCCTCCGGAGCCAGGGGGCATAACTGGGCCCCGCGGGCCTCCCTCTGAGCAGATCAGAGGGACCGTGGCTTTTCCCGGGAAATGTCACACTCTGGCGGCCGGCCGTCACCTGCAGGGCTGGCCTGGCCGTGCAGGCTGTGTTCCCGCCTCGTTAGCATTTTTCAAAGTCGGTGCTAATGAGCCGGCCCTTCCTGACAGCCGTCCTCCTCGGCCAGAGGAGCCGGGAGCACCGCGGGCGACAGGAAATAAAAAAAAATCCCTTCTCGCCCGGCTGGGTGGCTCAGTGGTGTGAGCATCGGCCGAGAAACCGGGAGGTGACGGTTCGATTCCCGGTCAGGGCACCGGGGGCCGGTGTCTGGGTGACCGTGCCTCCGGGGGGTTGGGGGGCCGGTGTCTGGGTGACCGTGCCTCCGGGGGGTTGGGGGGCCGGTGTGTGTTGGGGGGCCGGTGTCAGGGTAACCGTGCCTCCCGGGGGTTGGGGGCCGGGGGCTGTCGGGGGCCGGTGTCGGGGTGACCTGCCTCCGGGGCCGGGCTGTCGGGGGCTGGTGTCGGGGTGACCGTGCCTCCGGGGGGTTGGGGGGCCGGTGTGTGTCGGGGGCCGGTGTCGGGGTGACCTGCCTCCCAGGGGCCGGGGGGTTGGGGGGCCAGTGTGTGTCGGGGGCCGGTGTCGGGGTGACCGTGCCTCCCGGGGGTTGGGGGCCGGGGGGTGTCGGGGGCCGGTGTCGGGGTGACCTGCCTCCGGGGGCCGGGGGGTGTCGGGGGCCGGTGTCGGGGTGACCGTGCCTCCCGGGGGTTGGGGGCCGGGGGGTGTCGGGGGCCGGTGTCGGGGTGACCTGCCTCCGGGGGCCGGGGGGTGTCGGGGGCCGGTGTCGGGGTGACCTGCCTCCCAGGGGCCGGGGGGTTGGGGGGCCGGTGTCGGGGTGACCGTGCCGCCCCTCTGCCCGCAGGTCTCAGCCCTGAAGAGCAAGCTGAAGAAGCAGTCCACGGCCACGGGCGACGGCGTGGCCAGGGCCTTCCTGCGGGCGCAGGCCGCCCTGTTCGGCTGCTACCGGGACGCGCTGCGATACAAGCCGGTGAGCCTTCCGCCCCGCGCTGGCTTTAAAGCACACGTGTCAAACACAAGGCCCGCGGGCCAAATCCGTCCCGCCAGGCCTTGCAATGTGGCCCGCACCGCGCTGTCATCACTGCACTCCGCTGCGTTTCCATCACACTGACAGTTGATGACTGTTCAGTAAACCATTCGGCCCGCGATTTAGGCTGGATTTTAGATTTTGGCCCCTTCTCTGAGTGAGTTTGACACCCCTACTTTAAAGAGACACAGTGCGGGGCGGGGAGCGGGCAGAGGGCGGGGAGGCCTGGGTGGGGGGAGCTATGGAGGGAGAAAGAGGAGCGATTGTAATGATCTGAGCAACGAAGATCTATTAAATTAAATTAAAATAAAATATGAAACTTGAAAAAAAATATATATATTATTTGATTTTTCACAGAGAGGAAGAGAGAGGGACAGAGAACTAGAAACATCGATGAGAGAGAAACATCGACCAGCCGCCTCCTGCACACCCCCCACCGGGGATGTGCCCGCAACCAAGGTCCATGCCCTTGAGCGGAATCGAACCCGGGACCTTTCAGTCCGCAGGCCGACGCTCTATCCCCTGAGCCACACGGGTTAGGCAAATATATATATTTGTTTTAATTGATTTCAGAGAAGAAGGGAGAGGCAAAGAGAGAGAGAGAGACATCCATGAGGAGAGAGAACCCTGGATCGGCTGCCTCCTGCACGCCCCCCACTGGGGAATCGGGCCCACGACCCGGGCCTGTGCCCTGACCGGGAATCGAACCCTGAACCTCCCCAGCGGCAGGTCCCCCACAGCAATCTGCTCTGCGGCCCCCCAGGAGCCAGCTCCTTCTATGAGGTGGGAGGACAGAGGGGGCCTGGGGAAGCAGGGGTTACAGGCCTGGGGAGGGAGGCACAGCGGGCAGGGGTGGGACCCCATTGTGAGGGCTGTGAGGTCGTAGCTAGTCAGTCCCCCATAGTCTGTGTCTGCCCCCGACCCATCCCAGCGGCTGATCCCCCAGGCGGATGGCGTTATGGGAAGGAAGGCTCACCTGTGTAGGAGTCCGCCCTGTCCGAGCTGGATGGGCTCACGTAGGGGCAGGCAGGCCGGACCCTGGGCTGTCCGCTGTCCCGTCCACGGACGCCCTGACCTTCTCTCTCTCTCCCCCCGCCCCAGGGGGAGCCCGTGACCTTCTGCGAGGAGAGCTTCGTGAAGCACCGCTCCAGCCCCATGAAGCAGTTCCTGCAGACGGCTGTGAACCTGCAGCTGTTCAAGCAGGTGAGGGTGGGGCCCCCGTCTGGGGGGTTAGTGCCCTTCTGTGCCTTGGTCTGTCCGGGGCGGCCGTACCCCTGTCTGTGTGCACAGGGAGCTGTGAGGGTCAGATTAGCAGGTGAGGGTGGGGCCCCCGTCTGGGGGGTTAGTGCCCTTCTGTGCCTTGGTCTGTCCGGGGGGCGGCCGTACCCCTGTCTGTGTGCACAGGGAGCTGTGAGGGTCAGATTAGCAGGTGAGGGTGGGGCCCCCGCATGGGGGGTTAGTGCCCTTCTGTGCCTTGGTCTGTCCGGGGGGCGGCCGTACCCCTGTCTGTGTGCACAGGGAGCTGTGAGGGTCAGATTCTAGGGAGGGGGGGGTTCAAGGACCCAGTGGGCAGGTAGGAGATCAGACGCAAGCCTGTCAAACTCAAAGGCTAATGCGGGCCAGATCCGTGGTCGGCAAACTGCTGCTCGAGAGCCCCCTGAGGCTCTCTGGCCCCCGGAGGGCGGCTCTTCCACAAAACACCACGGCCTGGGCGGGTCCGTGTGGAAGACGTGGCGTTAGGAGACGTTTACGTTTAAAAAACGTGGCTCTCCAAAGACATGTCCATCGTGGTGCTGTTGGTATTTGGCTCTGTGGACGGGTGAGATTGCCCACCATGAGGCCAGATAAATATCCTCGGTGGGGGGTGTGCAGGGACAGCTGGTTGACATTTTTTTTTTAAAAAAAAAGATTAAAACAAACACACAAACCAACCTGTTTTTCACACGTTTCCAGATTCCCCAGTAGCAGGCTGTGTTTTTTCTCTCTTTTTTTAAAAGTATATTTTATTGATTCTTTACAGAGAGGAAGGGAGAGGGACAGAGAGTCAGAAACATTGATGAGAGAGAAACATCCATCAGCCGCCTCCTGCACCCCCCCCCCCCCCCCACTGGGGACGTGCCCGCCACCAAGGGGCATGCCCTTGACCGGAATCGAACCCGGGACCTTTCAGTCCGCAGGCCGACGCTCTATCCACTGAGCCACACCGGCTTCGGCAAGGCTGTGTTTTTCTTGACGGTCGACTCCTCAGCCTCCTTGGGCCTCTCCCCGTGAGTCAGCCGCCGCGTCCCATGTCGGCGGGGCCCTCCGGCCTGCGCTCACATTCCCCGATACCGAGAAATAAACAGAATATAGCCGGGCGATAGCGGCCCCATTTGGACCGGCTCCTCCTCAGATAACAGGCTTGGAAAGCAGCCCAGACACAGCTTCTTAAGCCTGCACCCTGGCAGCTCCATCCTTTAGGCCGCTGCCTCCTGAGACTCCAGCCCCTCTCTCCAGACCTCTCACCCGGGGTCCCCCAGCAGCACCTGAGTTGGTTCGATTCCGGTCAAGGGGCATGGACGTTGGTGGCGGGCACATCCCCTGTGGGGGGCGTGCAGGAGGCAGCTGATGGATGTTTCTCTCTCATCGGTGTTTCTAGCTCTCTGTCCCTCTCCCTTCCTCTCTGTAAAAAAAAAAAAAAAAAAAAAAAAAAAAAAAAAAAAAAAAAATCAATAGAATATATTTAAAAATAAAATAAAATGTATTTTTATTCATTTCAGAGAGGAAAAGGAGAGGGGCAGAGAGAAACATCCATGGGGAGAGGGAATCCTGGGTCGGCCGCCTCCTACCGACCCCACACTGGGGATGGAGCTCTGGACCGGGACTCGAACCCAGGCCTCCTGGTTCTTGGGTGGATGCTTAACCCCTGAGCCACACCAGCCGGGCCTGGTGTCTGTCATGTGAAACCTGAGGTCTCCGTGTAAGGACGTGCTGCATAGAGAGAGAATTCTCCGAGGCCCAGAGCCTGTCTGTGCTGCATTCTGACCCACTTTCCCCGACGTCCACAAGACACCGGATCAGAGAGACGGGTCAGGAGCCAAACGCGAGTCCCCTTTCATGTCCGCGGAGATTCCGGGAGATTGTAGAAAGCTTTTAACGTAACAATAAATTCTGATAAATCTCCACACCTCCTATTCATCTTTTTTTTTTTTTTTTTTAAGAAACACGTAGTTGGTTGTTCACGGCGGGTAATTTATAGCCGAGATCAGCACATGCATGAGTGGGGGTGTGAGAACAGACCGGCTGCCGGAATGCATGCGAGGCGGCAGCTGCATCATCATCATCATCACACACGTGTTTCCCGGCGCGGAAAAGGACCACACGTGTCACGTGGCCCAGGCGGGCGATGGGGACCCTGTCGCTGCAGGGCTACCGGCACAAGGACGCATTTTCACAGTTTTTTTAAATTTTTATTTTTTAAATATAGTTTATTGATTTTTTACGGAGAGGAAGAGAGAGGGATAGAGCATTAGAAACAGCCACGAGAGAAACATCCATCAGCTGCCTCCTGCACACCCCCCACTGGGGATGTGCCCGCAACCAAGGTCCATGCCCTTGAAATGTGTGTGTACAGCGCGTCGTTGAACCTCTCGCCGTTCGCAGGTGCCCGTAAAGAGCTGATGACTCAATTTATTGGAACACGTTAGCGTGGTTTTCACTAACCTGCCAGGTTTAGGGAGCATTTAGAAGGTGAAGAATTTAAGCCCAGACTACCTGGTTTTGTTATTTTTTAGCCCAAAAAAAGGGACATTTAGAGGCCCCTAGGAAATGAGTATATTTTGAAAGTTGTGTGTGTGTGTTTTTAGAATACTTTTTTTAAAAAATTGCTAATGATTTCTGGCTCACTTATAAAGTGTATTTTTCTCTCGCTCTCCAAGGCTGGAATTTGATTAGCTTGGTACCTTCGTGGCCAAGAAGAGCTGCTAATAGGAGATCGTTGTGGTTGTGTGTGTGTGTGTGTGTGTGTGTGTGTGTTTTGCAGCGTGGTCATTTTCCCTCCGGGCTGAAAAGGCACCTGGGGGTGTGGTTGTGTCCAGGCCCGTGGTCTGCAAACCGTGGCTCGTGAGCCATCTGCGGCTCTTTGGCCCCTGGAGGGCGGCTCTTCCACAAAGCACCACGGCCTGGGCGAGTCTGTGTGGAAGACGTGGCCTGAGAAGACGTTTACATTTAAACAGTGTGGCTCTCCGGAGACACGTCCGTCGCTGTGCTGCTGGTATTTGGCTCCGCGGACGAAGGAGTTTGCCGACCGCGGGGCTGGGCTGAGGCCCTTTATGAAGCCGCTGCTTTCCCGACCGGCTGTGTTTTCGTTCACCATTGGTTCCCGTGCCGCGGCAGCCAAGCGTGTTCTTGTTCTTATCTTTTATTTTAATTTCTCTCTCACTGTGAAATGCCGGGGAGTGTTCAGAGGGGTGTGGGGCCCGTAACCAGCTCCACTTGGGAGGGGGGGTAAGCTGTTATTGAGTCAAAAATAGAAAAAGGGCCGAAACCAGTTTGGCTCAGTGGCTAGAGCGTCGGCCTGCGGACTGAAGGGTCCGGGGTTCGATTCTGGTCAAGGGCATGGACCTTGGTGTGCAGGAGGCAGCTGATCGATGTTTCTCTCTCATCGATATTTCTAACTCTCTATCCCTCTCCCTTCCTCTCTATACAAAATCAGTAAAATATATTTTTTACAAAATAGAAAAAGGGAGTTGAGAGAACGATTCCCTGTCAGCATTCTCGATTCGTCCCCCGTCCCAGCTTCCCCCCAGAAAGAGGGGGCGGCCTGTGTCTGTGCTGGGGTTTATGATCCGATCTGTGGGGGTGCGCGCCCCCGGACCCCCATCCTCAACGGGCAGCAGGAGCATCCCCAGGAAGCGCGCTCATACCGGTCGGTGTGGTCGGTGTCCGGCTGTCCCCGGCTGTCCGGCCGTCCGTCCAGCAGGCCGGCGATAAGGCCTGGCATGGCGTCAGCCGGTGATGGATGTGGGCTGGCTCCCCTCGGGGGTCAGCCGCGCCCACCGCGGCCTCCCTCACCCCCAGGAGCACACCGTCCGCGGAGAGCGGGGGATTTATCTCTCCTCGGACCCGAGCCGGCCGCTCCCGGTAAAAGGGGTGGATTATGTGCAGTAAACACAGAGCGGAGAACCTTTCAGGGAGTCCCGCTGCTAATCTCCTGCGGCCGGTGAAGGCCTTTCGCAGGATGCCTGCGTGATCCCCTTCGTCCGGGACGGATGGCTTTCCATTTGTCTTCCTGCTTCGCCTCGTTTTTTTTGGTTGTTTTTTTCGCCCCAAAAAATGATACGTTGCCCGTCACATGTCATCCCTCGGTTGTGATGGATAATGCCGGGCTTGGAATGCCTGCAAGCTGAATTTTGCAAGCACTTTCAACTGCTTTTCTTTTCTTTCCTTTTCTTTTCTTTCTTTTCCTTTTCTTTTCTTTTCTTTTTCTCTTCTTCTTCTTCTTCTTCCTCCTCCTCCTCCTCCTCCTCCTCCTCCTCCTCCTCCTCCTCCTCTTCTTCTTCTTCTTCTTCTTCTTCTTCTTCTTCTTCTTCTTTAAAATATATTTTATTGATTTTTTTTACCGAGAGGAAGGGAGATAGAGAGCCAGAAACGTCCATCAGCTGCCTCTTGCACAACCCCTACCAGGGAGGTGCCCGCAACCAATGTACATGCCCTTGACTGGATTCGAACCTGGGACCCTTCAGTCCGCAGACAGATGCTCTACCACTGAGCCAAACCGGTTTCGGCTCTTTTCTTTAAAAAATAAAATACTTTATTGATTTTTTGCAGAGAGGAAGGGAGAGGGAGAGAGAGAGCTAGAAACATCGATGAGAGAGAAACATCCATCAGCCGTCTCCTGCACGCCCCCCCCCCACTGGGGATGTGCCCACAACCAAGGTCCATGCCCTTGACCAGAACCGAACCCGGGGCCCTTCAGTCCGCAGGCCGATGCTCCATCCACTGAGCCACACCGGTCTCGGAGTCACTTTTGTTTCTATGCGTACCTTCTGTTCCTACCTTTGATACAAGCAGGCACTTAATCTTAGGGGAAGGGGACCAGATCGTCGTCCCGCTTTTGGCGGGACAGTCCTGATTTCTAGCAATTTTTCCCGCGTCCCTCGGCGTTTTAAAAAAAAGTCCTGATTTTTGGGAAGAATCTTTCCAATGTTTCCCATCTCTCCAAAACATCGGGACTGTTTTTAAAACGCCGCGCGACGCGGGGAAAATTGCTAGAAATCAGGGCTGTCCCACCAAAAGCGGGACGATCTGGTGACCTTACCACCGGCGAGCCGTGACCGTGACCCTCCCTCCCCGCCTCTCTCTCTTCCCTTCCAGTTCATCGACGGGCGGCTGGCGAAGCTAAACGCGGGAAAGGGGTTCTCGGACGCCTTTGAGGAGGAGATCACGTCCGGGGGGTTTTCGGGAGGTAAGGAGGGCGTCCGGCGAGGAGGGTCCGCCCCATGTCCGGCAGCAGCGCCTCGACCCCCGCCATCTCCTCCTGATCCGGTGACGGGTCAGGGGCCCCTTCCCGCCTCCAAGGGGGGCCATGGGGGCGATGGTTCGGGTGATGGCCCCCTATTTCTTTTTTTAATATATTTTATTGATTTTTTACAGAGAGGAAGGGAGAGGGAGAGAGAGCTAGAAACATCGATGAGAGAGAAACATCCATCAGCTGCCTCTTGCACACCCCCTCCTGGGGATGTGCCTGCCACCAAGGTCCATGCCCTTGGCCGGAATCGAACCCGGGACCTCCCAGTCTGCAGGCCGATGACGCTCTATCCACTGAGCCACACCGGTTTCGGCGAATTTTAATCTTCAGTGAGACCTGTTTTTGCATCACGGACATAGAGAAGCCGCTGCAGCCGTCCATCTGTCCGTTAAAAGGGAAACAGGACTGTCCCACCGGCTGGCTCCGCGGTGGAGTGGCTGAGCGTCCACCTAGGAACCGGGAGGTCACGGTTCGATTCCCGGTCAAGGGCAGAGGTTTAGGTTGAGGGTTTGATCCCCAGCAGGGGGCGTGCGGGAGGGCCTTGGCCCACACAGAATGTCCCTGGAAGCACTTATTTTTTATTTTATTTTATTTTTTATATTTTATTGAGTTTTTACAAAGAGGAATAGACAGGGATAGAGAGCGAGAAACATCGATGGGAGAGAAACATCCATCAGCTGCCTCCTGCACGCCCCCCACTGGGGATGTGCCTGCCACCAAGGTCCGTGTCCTTGACCGGAATTGAACCTGGGACCCTTGAGTCTGCAGGCCGACGCTCTATCCACTGAGCCACACCGGTTTTGGCTGGAAGCACTTACTTTTGGCGAGAAACTTAGTGGAGTTGACTCTGCAGGTGCCGAACCCGGAGTCCCCCGCCTCCCTGCCCCCTCCCTCAGCTCCTGGGCAAGGAGGAGAATCAGCTTCAATGGAACTTTCATGTTAAAATAGACTTTTTTTTTTTTTTTTTTCTTTCCACCTCAGACAAGCAAAGGGTTGTCAGCTCCCGGACACATCGCCGGAGGCGCCGTGGGGCACTGACACCAGCGCCTTCTCATTATCTCTGTGGCCCCTGGGGCTGCCGGCCCCGCGGGAGGGCGGGAGACACGGTGACAGTGATGGGGGGACGGTGAGCCTTTATGTGGCTGGATGGGGGGTGGGACCCCTCCCTGGTGACGGAGCCAGGCAGGTGGCTTTTCCACGGAAGGGCAGCTCCCCATCGTGTCCACCGTGGGTCTCCTCATTTAAAAAAATGGATGGGCCGAAGCCGGTGTGGCTCAGTGGATAGAGTAGGGGTGTCGAACTCAATCAGAGAAGGGGCCAAAATCTAAAATCCAGCCTAAATCGCGGGCCGAATGGTTTACTGAACAGTCATCAACTGTCATTGTGATGGAAACGCAGCGGAGTGCAGTGATGACAGCGCGGTGCGGGCCACATTGCAAGGCCTGGCGGGACGGATTTGGCCCGCGGGCCTTGTGTTTGACACATGTGGGATAGAGCGTCGGCCTGCAGACTGAAGGGTCCCGGGTTCGATTCCGGTCAAGGGCATGGACCTTGGTTACAGGCACATCCCGGTGGGGGGTGTGCAGGAGGCAGCTGATGGATGTTTCTCTCTCATCGATGTTTCTAGCTCTCTCTCCCTCTCCTTTCCTCTCTGCAAAAAAAAATCAATAAAATATATATATAATTTTTAAAAAATGGATGGGCGCTAGTGGTCGGCAAACCGCGGCTCTCGAGCCACAGGCGGCTCTCTGGCCCCCGGAGGGCGGCTCTTCCACAGAAACACCATGGCCCGGGCGGGTCTGTGTGGAAGAAGTGACGTCGGGAGACGTTTGCGTTTAAACAAGGGGCTCTCCGGAGACATGTCAGTGGTTGTGCTGTTGGTAGTGGGCTCTGCGGACGGATGAGTTTGCCGACCGCTGGGATGGGGGAGAGGGGCGCCTGACCAGAGGCTGCGTTTCCAGCGCGGCTTCCTGCCCTCCACTTTGTTGTTCTTGAAAATGCAAGAGGTTTTGAATTCTTCCTTTTCTTTGGTATATATATATATATTTTTTTTAATATATTTTATTGATTTTGTACAGAGAGGAAGGGAGAGAGATAGAAAGCCAGAAACATCGATGAGAGAGAGTCATCGATCAGCTGCCTCTTGCACACCTGCTACTGGGGATGTGCCCGCAACCAAGGTACATGCCCTTGACCAGAATCGAACCCGGGTCCCTTCAGTCCCCAAGCCGACGCTCTATCCATTGAGCCAAACCGGTCTCGGCTCTTTGGTATATTTTTAAAAATTGATTTCAGAGAGGAAGGGAGAAAGAGAGAGAGAGAGAGAGAGAGAGAGAGAGAGAGAGAGAGAGAGAGGAACATCCATGATGAGAGAGAACCATGGACCGGCTGCGTCCTGCACGCCCCACGCTGGGCATGGAGCCCACATCCAGGGCCTGTGCCCGGACCGGGAATCGAACCTCCTGGTTCCTAGGCTTGACGCTCAGCCACTGAGCCACACCAGCCGGGCCGTCCTGTTTTCCTTCTTGCTGAGGAATTTGAAAGGGTGGTAACGACCCATCCGTTTTCGTGTCATTTTTTTGGCCGCCCCGGACAATTTAAGACCAATTTTTGTGTTTGGGGAGAAGACCCCACCGAGGCCTGGAATTTAAACAAACACGTCCGGAGAGGCAGTCTCGGTGCAGGCCAGAGAGAGGTCCCGTCCCCGAGTGTGAGAAAGCCGCTGTTTGGACGAACAAGAACTATGTGAAGAATTTTCTCCAAAAAATGCTGATTATTCCCATAATCCTGTTGCTCGAACAGAAGGTCTAGGGATTTTTTTTTTCTCTCTTCTTTTTTTTTTTCTTTTTGGCACTCAGATGCATTTTTTAAGGAGAAAAACAGCCTTTAAAAGAGAAGGTTTTCAAAGAATAATGTGCTTGTCTCTTCAATTTTGTGGCAATAAGGAGCCTTGGATCTTAAAAGCACGAAATTTAAAGAGACAGGCATCCTTTAGACATTTTTTTAAAAAAACACACACACACAAACAGGCTTCTAGCTAAATTATACCGCATGCTTCCCTACCATCTTAAGCAGTTTTCTTAGGGACTTCTTGTTTGCCCTGAGCCACAAAATTCCAGATTATTTTTTCTTTTAATATATTTTTATTTATTTCAGAAAGGAAGGGGGGAGAGGCAGAGAGAGAGTGGAACATCCATGATGAGAGGGAATCATAGACCGGCTGCCTCCTGCACGCCCCACCCTGGGGATCGAGCCTGCAACCCGGGCCTGTGCCCTGAGCGGGAATTGAACTGTGACCCCTCTGGTTCATAGGTCAACGTTCATAGGTCACGCCGGCTCAGTTAGATAGGGAGTGGCTGGCTCTGATCTTTCAGAGTTTCAAGGTTGACCAGCTGAAGAAACTCAAGAAATGAAACAACAAAATTTAATAGCATCTCTTTTTTTAAAAAAAAAATATATTTTTTATTGATTTTTTTTACCGAGAGGAAGAGAGAGGGACAGAGAGTGAGAAACATCGATGAGAGAGAAGCATCCATCAGCTGCCTCTTGCACACCCCCACCTGGGGATGTGCCCGCAACCAAGGTCCAAGCCCTTGACGGGAATCGAACCTGGGACCCTTCCGTCCGCAGGCCGACGCTCTGCCCACTGGGCCACACCGGTTTCGGCTCAACAGCACCTTTTAACGTCTTGGCTTCCTAGGCGAGGGAAGGAAAACAGCGTCTGTGCTCAAAACTGTCGATTACGGTTCGAAGACTTAGAACAGTTCATTCTTCCTCCTGGGATCTCCTGCTGCCCTCCACCCCATTGCAGAAAAGGAACCGCTGCTCGCTGCATTCCTGGCAGTGCTCGCCGCCGATACGTGCTGGCTGACGGGTTTGTTTCTGGCCCACTGTGTCTGACATCTTATTTCTGCCTTCCTCCAGGGAGCCCGAGGTCCTATCAGCAGTGGGTCCACACGGTCAAGGTAACGAGAGCGCCTCTCCCAATTCCTTCTTCCTCCGGCTCTGTCTGTGGGCGGGGGTCAGCCAACGTGTTTAATGTCCTCCCATGGGAATGTCTTTGTTGGATGCGTGTCTTTTTAAAAAATATATATTTTATTGATTTTTACAGAGAGGAAGGGAGAGGGACAGAGAGTTAGAAACATTGATCAGCTGCCTCTTGCACACTCCCTACCGGGGATGTGCCCGCAACCAAGGTACATGCCCCGAAACAGAATCGAACCTGGGACCCTTGAGTCTGCAGGCTGACGCTCTATCCACTGAGCCACACCGGTCAGGGCATGTGCTTGTCTTTATGAATACGATTTCCAATGGAAAGCTTTGGTCCGGGGACAGATGGCTTCCTTGGAAAAAGCAAGAGTCCACTGCCCCCATGGATTCTGTCCCAAAACAAGGAACTGGGTGGAGTAGTGAGATTGGGTGGGAATTTTATCCTTTCCGGGACAGTTTTTATTTTTTTTTTATTAATATGTTTGTTTGTTTTTTCAAATATAGAAAGCCCTCTTCCACAAATTGAGACTTGATGGCTCCACATGAAAACCAGTTTTGATTTATTTTTATTTTAAATGTATTTTATTGACTTTTTTTTTTTTTTTTTTTTTTTTTTTTTTTTACAGAGAAGAAGGGAGAGGGATAGAGAGTTGGAAACAAGGATGAGAGAGAAACATCCATCAGCTGCCTCTTCCACACCCCTCCCCCATTGGGAATGTGCCTGCAACCAAGGTCCATGCCCTTGATCGGAATCGAACCCGGGACCGTTCCGTCCGCAGGCTGACGCTCTACCCACTGAGCCACACCGGCGAGGGCTGTGATTTCTTTATCCCTGCAGCGGGCTTCACCTTCCGCGGTGAGCCCAGTCGGCGTGGCTCCGTGGTGGAGCGCCCACCTGGGAGCCAGGAGGTCAGGGTTCCATCCCGGCCGAGGGCACAGGCCCGGGTGGTGGGCGCCGGCCCCAGTGGGGGGCGTGCAGGAGGCCGCCGATCCATGCGTCTCTCTCCTCCTGGCTGTCCTGTGGGCCTTCGCCTAGCCAGTGGCGAGAGCTTTCTTTCTGCAGCAGCACGCGTGCTTGTGTCCGGGGCCGTCTGGTCAACCGCGGTTGGAAACAGGGGTCTGTGCTTCCTTTGCAGAAAGGGGGCGCCCTGTTCAACTCGGCCGTGACCAAAGCCACCCCCGCGATGCGGACGGTGTACAAATACGTGAGTGAGTCCCCCTCGGACGCTTCAGCATCCCACCGGTCACATGTCACGGCGTGTTTTTAGCCTAGAGACCTGTGGGTCTAGAGATTAATGTGCCCTTACTTTCCTTTTAAAATCTGATGTTCAAACATCAGAAATCACACTGAACCAAAGAAACCCAACTGCTCCAAGGGTATCATTATCTAGGGAGGATATATATATATATATATTTAAATATATTTCTATTGATTTTTTTACAGAGAGGAAGGGAGAGAGAGAGCTAGAAACGTCGATGAGAGAGAAACACCAACCAGCTGCCTCTTGCACACCCCCTACCGGGGATGTGCCCGCAACCAACGTACATGCCCTTGACCGGAATCGAACCCGGGACCTTTCAGTCCGCAGGCAGATGCTCTCTCCACTGAGCCAAACAGGTTTTGGCATCCTCCTTTTATTGTTAAACATATTTGTATTGATTTCAGAGAGAGAGGGAGAGAGAGAGAAACATCCATGGTGACAGAGAATCATGGATCGGCTGCCTCCCCGCTCCGCCTTCCCCCCCCCCTCCCCCCCCCAAACTGGGCCTGCGCTCTGGACCAGAACGGAACCGAGCCTGCAGGCCTGGGCTCTATCCACTGAGCCACACAGGCTGGGGCTCGGGTCCTTGCTCTTGAAGCCGCCTTCTGAGCCCGGCCTTTGTCTTCTTGTCTTCCAGGCCAAGAGCCACACCAAGCAGGGCATCAGGGAGGTGAAAAGCAAGCTCAGACACAAGGTACGCCGCCCCCGCCCCCGCCTCCCTCCCCCCTGCTCCGGCCGCACCGATCCCTCCCTCCCTCGGGATGCCCATCGTTAATGACCTTGGAAGTGCGCTCGGCCCCGTGTCCCGGGACGAGCTCTGTATAGCCAGCCCCCCCGGAAACGCGCCTGCCGTTCTGCAGGGTCTCCCCATCGCGAGCATATTTTATCATCGGCCCCGGAGAGCTTCCAAGATGCTCTCACGGGAGCTGCTGTCTCCAGAAGGTTCACAGCCTGGATGGATAGCACTGCCGAAACGCCCGTCATTTTTTATGTATTTTAAAATATATATATTTTTTTAAAAAGTAGGTATGTTTATGGATGTCAGAGAGGAAGGGACACAGGCAGAGAGGGATGGAAACATCCATGAGGAGAGGGAATCATGCATCGGCTGCCTCCTGCACGCCCCCCACTGGGGATGTGCCCGCCACCAAGGTCCATGCCCTTGACCGGAATCGAACCCGGGGCCCTTCAGTCCCCAGGCCGACGCTCCATCCGAGGAGCCGCATCCATGTTGGCGGGAACCTAGTTTTCTAAGTAGATCCTCGAGGCGTCCCGCTAAGGGCTCTCTCGGGCGATGTACGTCTGCCTCGGGCCCCTGGCGTCTGTCGGTCGCTCAGGGAGCCTTTAGAAATCACCCCCCTCTCTCTCCCGCGTGCAGGAGAACGAGGATGAGGACGGGACCTCCTCCCGGTTCGTGCAGTACACCCCGGTCTACACCTCGCACAACCACCGGGCCGGAAGCCCGGAGAAGCGCAGGCTCACCCAGGTACGGCCCCGCCCCCGGCCTCCAGGAGGGGGCGCGCAGGAGGCCACGATCCCGGTCTCTTCTCTCTTTCCTTCTCCCTTTCTCTCTCTTAAAAAAAAGAAATGATAAACTGTATTCAAATAACTAGTTAACAATGTTAAGTGGTGATGAGGAGGAGGAGGAGGAGGAGGAGGAGGATTCCACCAGGGTAGCCACCCGCTCCGGTTCCTGCAGTTCGCGTGGGGGGGGCGGCCGATGCGTGATTCTCTCTCATCACGGATGTTTCTATCTCTCTCGCGCCCTCCCGCTTCCTCTCTGACATCCATACAAGCACATCTAAACCAAAATATACGCACTGCGTGGCCAGATGAGGATGATCTCTAAACACATACTAATCTGGCCACTCAGTGTGCATATATATATTATATCAGAGGGCCGGTGCATGAATCTGTGCATCCGTGGGGTCCGGCCAGCCTGGCCAGGAGGAGGGGACATGGGTGGTTGGCCGGCCTGCCTGCTGGTCGAACTCCTGGTCGAGGGGGCCATGTGCATATTAGCCTTTTATTCTATAGGATAGACACAGAGTGGCCAGGTTATTATTGATATTATCTCTGCACATAATAATCTGGCCACTCAGTGTGTGTGTGTGTGTGTGTGTGTGTGTGTGTGTGTGTTTCTTGTATCAAGGAACCTCTTGTCTTATCAGACCTTGAGGATGCAATTTTGTTGTCAATGGAATTACCGAAATAAAGGATCCAGACTCGCCCGGCCTCTGTCCCGGAGCGCCCCGGGCCTCAGCTCCGGGAGAGCCTCCCGCTCCCAGCTCCCCCGGACCTGCGTGGCCGGAATTCCCAATTTCCATCTGTCCTTCCCGCACAAGATGTGAACGGGAGGGAGGATGGTGACTGGTGACATTCCGAGCGTGTGCTTAGCAGCGAGAAGAGGCAGGTTTCCCCACCGGGGTCTCGGGGATGAGTGTCTGAGCTCCCAGCCCGTGAGCCTGGCTCGCTGGCGGGGCATCGATTGCTCATCTCCTGCCCCCACCCCGCCCCCTCTCCCCCCTCCCCGCGGGAGCCCAGCCCGGCAGTGCCAATTAGCCTGGCTGCTCCGTCTCGCTGATGAGGCCCTGGCAGGTCCGGGGACGGCTCCCAATTAGGCGCTGCCTCTGTGCAGCCTAACGGGGCCCGGGGGAGGGCGTCCCCCGCAGCCGGCCGGCAGGGCCGCCGGTGGGGTCCGGGGCGGATGTGAGGGTCGGAGCTGCGCGTCCGTGGTCATCTCGGCCATGGCCGGGCCGTCTCTCCTCCGTGGGACGTCGGAACCGGGCCCCGGGGCTGGCGGGCGAGGTGCAGGCGCCGTCTCTGCTCCGCTGTGCAGCCTGAGCTGCTGACCGGCCGGCGGGGGGGGGCGTTTGCCGAGGAAAGACGGGAGAAGGCCCTGGAAGGAGGCGTTTGTGGTCGCAGGAGCCTGTCTGAGTCCGGGAACATGTGTGTGTGTGTGTGTGTGTGTGTGTGTATGCGCGTGCATCTCCCTCTCTCCTCTCTCTCTCTCTCTCTCTCTCTCTCTCTCTCTCTCTCTCTCAGTGTGTGTATGTCTGCATCTTCCTCTCTCTCTCTCTCTCTCTCTCTCTCTTTCTTTCTTTCTCTCTATCTCTCTCAGTGTGTGTGTGCATCTCCCCCCATCTCTCTCTCTCTCACACACACACACACACACGCACACATACACACACGCACACACACATATGCACACACATACACACACTCACACGCACACATGCACACACGCACACACACATATGCACACACATACACACACTCACATGCACACATGCACACATACACACGCGCGTGCGCACACACTCACACACACACATGCACACACGCACACGCACACAGCAGGACGCGTGCGCCACAGGCGGGAGCTCAGCTGCTGTGCACACCGGCATCGGCAGGTGGATGGCCCGGAGCAAGGCCAGGGCGGGGCGGGCCCTGTTGGCGAGCCCTGGACACCCGGCAGCCCGGCTCTTAACCCTCTCCCGCTGGGCCCCGTTTCCTTCCAGCCCGCCCCCCCCCCCCCCCCCCCCCCCGCCCGCCCGCCCGCCCACCCGCCCGCCCGCCCGCCCGCCCGCCCAGGCGCGCCTCTGGGCTGCGGGGGCAGCACCGCCTGCAGGACACCCGTCCCTCCGTGGGCGCGGCGAACGGCGGGCGTGAAACGAACGTCATGGCGGCTGTGCTTCCCGCTCAGGGAGGGTTCCAGAACACGGCACCCACGGGCCATGGCTTAGCTTTTTGCTTGGTTGGTTGGTCCAGAAAGAGCCCTGGCCGGTGCGGCTCAGTGGATAGAGCGTCGGCCTGCAGACTGAAGGGTCCCGGGTTCGATTCCGGTCAGGGGCACATGTCGGGGTAAGGGGCGTGCAGGAGGCAGCCAATCCATGGTTTTCTCATATTAGGTGTTTCTCCCTCTCCTTTCCTCTCTGAAATCAATAAAACTATGTTTATTAAAAAAGAAAAAGAGAAGGAAATCTATTAGCAAGTTCTAGATGATAAAAAAAAAAGGTTTTTTTTGACGTGTCTTATGGGAGCATGCTCCCATTTGAAGGCGCCCCGGAAAAACTGTCTCCACGAAAACACCTTTTAGCATCTCTGTCTCTCTTTCCGTAGCTCATCGCCGGTCTAATGTGTGCGGATGCCTCTCGTTTCTAAATCTGCTCTTTTGAGGCTGGTATTGAACAGTTAGTGGTGCCACGTTGTTGGTTTTAAAGAAAGCCATTTCCCCTGTGTGTGTGTGTGTGTGTGTTTTCATTGTTGAAATAACACTCATGTCCAGCATGTCAACATATGATTCGGTTATGGGTTACAAGGCTGCCCCCTAGTGGGCGTGAGCCAATCCTTTGCTTCCTTGAAAGAGGATTGCTGCAGGATACAAAAGTCATCCTGGTAAAATTCACCTTGCAGGGTAGCCTTTTTTTTAAAACACATTTTATTTATTTATTTTTTAAAATATTGATTCCAGGGAGGAAGGGAGAGGGAGAGAAATATAGAAACATCCACGATGAGAGAAACCGCGGGCCGGCTGCCTCCCGCATGCCTCACGCTGGGGACGGAGCCCGCCACCCGGGCCTGTGCCCGACCGGGGAATCGAACCCTGACCTCCTGGTTCCCAGGTCGACGCTCAGCCGCACCGGCTGAACTGCTAGAATCTTATTATAATCTGGGCGGGATTGATGTCTCCTTGCACGTGGCTATAGTTCCCGTCAACAAAAAATGATAGCACGGGTGCTTTTAAAGCTGTTTTCCGATTCTGAACGGCGTGCATTGGTTAAGGTTGCTGCCATTGTAATCCCGTAGGGTTCACGTTATCTCATGCAAGTTCCTAGCACCCAAAGTGCATAAGCTCAGGGGTTTGCTGGGTGGGGTTTGGGTAAGCAAGGTAGCACTTCTGAGCCTCACAACTCTAAACTGGGGACAGTAGGACCGAGGACCTGCCTTCAGACACATCACATGTCGCATGCATCTTAATTTTTATTTAAAAATATATTTTATTGATTTTTTTACAGAGAGGAAGAGAGAGGGATAGAGAGTTAGAAACATTGATAAGAGAGAATCATCCATCAGATGCTTCTTGCACACCCCCCTACTGGGGATGTGCCCGCAACCAAGGTGCATGCCCTTGACCGGGAATCGAACCCGGGACCTTCCAGTCTGCAGGCCGACGCTCTATGCACTGAGCCAAACCGGTTTCGGCAAGCATCTTAATTTTATAAAATCTAAAAAAACATATTTGCCTATTCCTCTGCCTGTATTATCCCACATCACCCCCCCCCCCCCCGCACACACACACACACACACACACACACACACACTCTCTCTCCCTACCCTAACCCCCTTATGCATGGAATGGGCCAGGCCCTTTGCCTGATTGGGGTCTGCCTGCCATCTGGCGGCAGAAGTGGTAACTGCAGGGGGAGCAGGGGGTGGTCCGGACAGGAAGTTGGGTGGTGGTTCTGTGAGCTGGGCCTGTGGCCTCCCAGAAGCCATTGCACCCGAGTCCCCGGCCAGCGGGACCCGTAAGCGCAGAGACACGATCTGGGTGGGTTCCTTCACGTCGGAAGCCGGCGATGCTTGTGTCGTGCAAGCTGCCATGTTTGTCTGTCTTGAGTGCTGATGGAATCGGTTGTAAGCCAAGTATTCCCAGAACAAGGAGGGACTGAGCGACCAACCGACCGACCAACCGACCGAGAACATGTTCGGTCCTCTCATTTGTTCTTTTTTTAGTTTTTAAATACATTTTATTGATTTTAAAATATATATATATATATATATATATATATATATATATATATTTTATTGATTTTTTTCACAGAGAGGAAGGGAGAGGGAGAGAGAGAGCCAGAAACATGGATGAGAGAGAAACATCAACCAGCTGCCTCCTGCACGCCCCCTACACTGGGGATGTGCCCGCAACCAAGGTCCATGCCCTTGACCGGAATCGAACCCGGGACCCTTCCGTCCGCAGGCCGACCCGCTATCCACTGAGCCACACCGGTCAGCGCTCTCGTTTGTTTTTGGAGTGTGAGTGGGAGGGGGAGTAACTGTGGAGACACGTAACCCCTTCCTCTCCTCCTTCCGGCCCAGCGCATCACGTTGACGGGGTAACACTGAAAACCCCGAATGCGCGTTGCTTCTAACAGCGTGCCTTATCGGCCGGCCGGCGTGGCTGTGTGGTTGAGCGTCGACCTAGGGCCCAGGAGGTCACGGTTCGATTCCCAGTCAGGCCACCTGCCCGGGCGGCGGGCTGCATCCCCAGGGCGGGGCGGGCAGGAGGCCGCGGGTCCATGTTCTCTCTCATCATGGATGTTTCTCTCTCTCCCTCTCCCTTCCTCTCTGAAATGGATTTTATAAAAAAATGTTTCTTTGCAGCTGAAACCGGTGTGGCTCAGTGGGTAGAGCGTCGGCCTGTGGACGGAAGGGTCCCGGGTTCGATTCCGGTCAAGGGCATGGGCCTCGGTGGCAGGCACATCCCCAGCGGGGGGCGTGCAGGAGGCGGCGGATGGATGTTTCTCTCTCATCGGTGTTTCTGACTCTCTATTCCTCTCCCTTCCTCTCTGTAAAAAATCAATAACATGCATTTAAAACAAAAACAAAAACACGTTCCTTTGCAAATCAAACCGCTCCTGAAACGTGACGAGGAGGGAGACTCGCTGTCTGACTGACGCTGTGTCTGTCTGTCCGTCCCTCCCACAGGCGCGCGTCCACAGGCCCCTCAAGAGCCACGGCAATGACAGCGGGCCGGGCGGGGACCAGGATGAGGACGCGGACCGCACCAGCAAGTCAGTACCGGGTTCGAGGCCCCGCCCGGCCCCGGGCTGGAGGCGGCCCCTGTGGGTTACACGGGAGACCTTCTGAGAGGGCGCCCCCCCGCCCCGCACCCCGGGCATCGGGTTTTATAGCCAGCGGTGCTCTGAGCCGGGGGGTGAATCGGAGCCGGGAGAGCGGGGAGGGCCTGGGCCAGCATCCCGGCTCCTCTGCCTCCTGGGGAAGGCGCCGTTGACTTCCCTGCTGCACGTTCTTTTTTAAAATATTTTTTTATTGATTTTCAGAGAGAGAGGGTGGGAGAGGGATGGAGGGAGAGAAACATCTGTGATGACAGAGGATCGTGGATCGGCTGCCTCCTGCACGCCCCACGCTGGAAATCGAGTGTGGAACCCTGAGCAGGTGCTCTGATCTCTTGGCTCCTGGATGGTCGCTCAAACCACTGAGCCACACGGGCCAGGCCCAGCTGCGTGTTCTTTAAAAAAAAAAAAAATTTGATATATTTTTTTTTTTCACAGACAGGAAGGGGGAGGGAGAGAGAGTTAGAAACATCGATGAGAGAGCAACATCGATCAGCTGCCTCCTGCACACCACCTACTGGGGATGTGCCCGCAACCAAGGTCCATGCCCTTGACCGGAATCGAACCCGGGACCCTTCAGTCCGAAGGCTGACACTCTATCCACTGAGCCACCCTGATTAGGGCTCTTTGTGTGTGTGTGTGTGTGTGTGTGTGTGTGTGTGTTTAAATATATTTTATTGATGTCAGAGAGTGGAGAGAGAGATAGAGACATCCATGATGAGAGAGAATACCATGGATCGGCTGCCTCCTGCATGCCTCCTCTTGGGGATGGAGCCCAAGACCCTTGTGCCCTTGGCCGGAATCGAACCTGGGACCCTCCGGTCCGCAGGCCGACGCTATATCCACTGAGCCACACCAGCCGGGGCCAGGCTGCATGTTCTTCATGTAGGTGGTGCCGGGAATTCCCCCGGATGTGAGCCGGTGGAGACATCCCTCCCGGGCGAGCCGGGCCCAGGGACTCCGTCTTCTTGCTGTTCCTGGGGCGGGAGCGGCGCCCCCCAGCCTGTCCCGTGTCCCCCCCCCCCCCCCAGGTTGTCCTCGGAGGACGGGGAGGAGGCCGCACCCGACTCCTACGAGAGCGACGACTCTGCGGAGCCGCGGGGCAAGGCGCTGTACGCGGGGGAGATGGACCTGCTGGGCGAGATCCTGGACACACTGAGCACCCACAGCTCGGACCCGGGCACGCTGGCGGCCGCCAAGAGCCTGGACTTCTTCCGCTCCATGGACGACATCGACTACACGGCCGGGGTGAGTGGGCGGCGCCCCCGGGGCCGGGGCCGAGGCCCACGCTCCTCTCCCTCCCTTCCCCCCCGCCCCCCGCCCCCCGTGGCTGGTGTGGCTCAGTGGGTAGAGCGGCTCTCGGGCCCCTGGAGGGCGGCTCTTCCACAGAACACCACGGCCTGGGGGCCGGTCTGTGTGGAAGACGTGGCGTCAGGAGACGTTTACGTTTAAAAAAAGGTGACTCTCCAGAGACATGTCCGTCGTGGTGCTGTTGGTATTGGGCTCTGTGGGCGGATGAAGTTGCCGACCGCGGTCTTAGTTCAGACAAGGGTGGGACCTCTTGTGGGTACGTGTCCCGACTTCATAGATACGGTGATGTCGGATCGTGAAGAATTAATTGAAGCAAATAATAAAAAAAAAAAAGATTCGGTGTTTTCCCTTTGGCTCAGCCAACCCTGGTAGTGGTGGTTAGGAACTGAAATTCTTTTTGCCAAGAGGCAGAGCTTTCTGACCATCTCATTATACTAGGGGTGTCGAACTCAATCAGAGAAGGGGCCAAAATCTAAAATCCAGCCTAAATCTCGGGCCGAACGGTTTACTGAACAGTCATCAACTGTCACTGTGATGGAAACGCAGCGGAGTGCAGTGATGACAGCGCGGTGCGGGCCACATTGCAAGGCCTGGCGGGACGGATTTGGCCCGCGGGCCTTGTGTTTGACACATGTGCATTATACGGTTGTCTTTTTTCTTTTTTTATAATATATATTTTATTGATTTTTCTACAGAGAGGAAGGGAGAGGGAGAGAGACTTAGAAACATTGATGAGAGAGAGTCATCGATCAGCTGCCTCTTGCACACCTCCTACTGGGGATGTGCCCGCAACCAAGGCACATGCCCTTGACCGGAATCGAACCTTCAGTCTGCAGGCCGACGCTCTATCCACTGAGCCACACCGCTTTCGGCAGAAACACATATTTTGAATATACACTTAATAACTACATGGAACCCACGTAACAACCACATACCGTGTCCTAACGAAATACAGTCAGGACGGCTGCTAACGGGACGATGCTGTCATTCTGTCCACGACGCTCCTGACCACCTGTCTGTCTGTCTGTCTGTCTCCCCCCCCAGAACAAGCCCAGCGCGCCCAGCGAGGACAACCTGGCGGCGCTCTGCGGTGGCTCCGGGGACCAGGGCGCCTGGCTCCGCGGCCAGGACGACAGTGCCCTCCACGGCCGGCACCTGCCGCCGTCCCCCCGGAAGCGGGCGAGCTCCAGCTGCGCCCCCGGCCCCCCGCTCTGCAGCCTGAAGGAGGAGAACGGCGCCCGGTCCCCGGACGGGGACCCCCGGAGCGGCCCCCCCGGGGCGGCCCCGCCTCCGCCGGCCGCCCCCTCGGAGCTGGCTGTCCCACGGGCTCCTCCTCCTCCCGGCCTGGCCGTCCGGACGGAAGACGGGGACTCGGACCGGGAGGAAACACTAGCCCAGGCCCCGGACACCGACCTGCTGGTGCCCAGCCTCCTGGGGCGCCGGCCGTCCTCCTCGGTCCCATGGGAGAGGGACGGGACGGGCGCCCGGGAGGCTCCGTGTCCTGACCCGGCGCCCGCCTCCCAGCCGGACGGGAACGTGGCCACCGGGGGAAGCATGCATGGGAGCCAGGCCTCCTCCTCCACCTCCTCTTCCTCCTCCTCCGTCGAGAACTGAGGGCCGGCCTCGGGCGTCCACTTGTCTCCGGGGACCCTGGAGGGTCCCCCACGGAACCCCATGCGGTAAACGGTCACTTGTAGGCACGGCAACGCTCACGGTCGTGTAGACATTCTCGTTTCCGTGGGAGACATCGCCCGGAGGAGGAGGGCCGGGTGGGTCTGTGTGACCCGGCGGTCTTTCGGGGCAAAAGCTCCTTCCTCTACTGTGCTCTTCAATCAGGTACTAGTAGCGTGTGCGTGTGCGTGCATGCGTGTGCGTGTGCGTGTGTGTGCGTGTGTGTGTGTACGTGCGTGTGGACAGTCTATATATCGGACACGCGACGTCCCAGGATTGGTGCTTACCGCCCGCGTTTTGTTTAAACCGAGGATGTGGGTGCCGAGGAGCCTTGCGCGGGACCCCGTCGCGGCTCCACACGCGTGTCCGACGGTGGAGCAGGAGCCGACCCGGCGGGCAACGCTCTTCTCCGAGCTCCCCCGCCCCAGCGGCTGGGACGCCGGGACCCACCGCCGCCTTAACCTCCCACCGCCCGCGAGCAAGCATGAGCCTTCCCGGCTGTCCTGGCTCCGTCCGTCCTCGGCTCCTCGGGAGGTCCCGTCTCCTCACATCCCCTCCCCGGCTTGGCTGTGAGAGCTGCTCGGCCCCATCCCGGGTGGCGTTTCCCTCAAGGCCTTCCCAGCTGGATCCGTGCCTTACTGACCCTGCGGAGTCCACGGCCCAAACTAAAGTGAAACCCAGCGCCGTCCCTGTTGTCCTGGGAAGTCACCCCAAGACTGGGAGCGGGCGCCCCCGTGCCACCCCATTGAAACGGGGGTTGGAGAGACGTCAACGCGAGGCCCGCGCGTGCAGAAGTGTCCTCGTCTGCCCGGCTGCTCTGCTCCGTCCCAGCGACGCCAGCCGCCTGCAAACTCCCCCGGCGCTGGGTTCCACGTGGGTGAAGACCTCACGCCTGTTTGCCCGACAGAGAGACTTGTGTCCGCCAGGTTCTCCCCAGAACTCCCTCCGGCCCCCCCTTACCTCCCAGCCTGCATCCTTCACCCTGAGCCGGGGTACCGGGCACGGGCGGGGGACAGGAGAGCAGGGTGTGGCTTGGCGCGAGGGTGTATGAAGTAGCATGACGACGCGTGTGAGTGGCGGGATGGGGGCCGCCTTTCGCGTGTTCTAGGAAAGCACCCCGATCAGGGCACGGACACCGTTCTGACGGAACACGGATGACCCGTTTGCCTAGGGGGTGGCCATGGACGCCTCGGCCTGGACGTAGGCAGGGAGCGGCGTCGGAGGAGGATGGAGGGAAAGGAAGCGATGGGCGTGGTCCCTGCGGGGAAGGAACCGGTTGGAAGGAATGGCGAAGATCAATAATAGTAATAATAATAATAATAGTAACAATTAATAATAATAATACCTTCTGCTTAGACGCTGTGAACCCAAGATCCTAATACCAAACAAAGAAAGCCTTTTCAAGCTGCTCTACCTGACCCTTGCTCTGTCTCAGAACCGCAGTGCCATGCTAAGGTCATGGATTCTCTCTGTAATGATATATGAAGGATCTAGAATAATGCTGCTACCTGAGGTACCTACTTTTTATTTTTATGAAAGTCTAGTTTTTATCGATTTTAGAGAAGAAGAGAGAGAGAGAGAGAGAGAGAGAGAGAGAGAGAGAGAGACATCCATGAGGAGAGAGAATCACAGATCGGCTGCCTCCTGCACGCCCATCCCTAGGGATGGAGCCCCCAGCCCGGGCCTGTGCCCTGACCGGGAATCGAACCGGGACCTCCCGGTTCCTAGGTCGACGCTCAGCCCTGGAGCTAGGCCAGCCCGGCTCCCATCCCCCTCCCTTTTCAATGAAGACTGTAGGTGACAGGTGTTTCTCTCGCACTGAGTGCTAACTCCCTGATACGACCCAGGGTTGGGATGAATCAGGGGGTGTCTCAGACAGGCAGGGGAAGTGGGGGTTCTGGGCCAGGGGAGAACACTGTGAATATTGTCACCATCCGTAGCTCTTCCTCCTCCTTTTCTAGAAAATTTGGATTTTCAGGGCGGTGCGTGGGGCACCTACTCTTGTGGATGCATTTCCGGATGCCAACGCCGTTCAGGTTCGCATGAGAGACCTTGGTTCGGGGCAGAGATTGGTCGGTGGGGACACAAGTTTCAGAACTCGAGTCTCCAAATCTAATTTCTCCAAAGCGCTTCATGACGTGAGGAAGGAGTTCTTTCAAAACGGGTCAATACTGGGGGGGGAGGGGGTCTTCCCCAGGGGGACACCTCACCCTCCGCTCAGTGGTCTGCATCTTCAAGCCTATGTGTGTGTCTGAGAGAGAGAGGATGGCTTTGACTTGCACCTTGATTTGTTCTAGAGAATTCTGTGTGCATAGGAAGAAGGATATGTCATGTTGAAGAGGGGAAAAACACAGTAGGATTTTGTGCAATATGATTTCTTTTGCGTCCTTGCGTCCAGACACGTGTGCACATCTGCTCCTGGGGGCAGACGCCTTAAGACGGGGTGGCTCAGTATTTGTGTGAGACTGTATGTAGCAACGCCCTGGGTGATTTTTTTTTTTTTCTTCAGGGGAAGAAAAAGAAATGTGTTCGTGTTTCTGTACGTTGGCAGGAGACGTGTGTGTGTGTGTGTGTGTGTGTGTGTGTGTGTGTGTGTGTGTTTAAAAAAAATCACGGACAGGGCGTCATCACCAAACTGCCTCAGCGGCCATCCGTCTGCGAGAAGACGAATCGTCAGCCTTCGGGGCGTGGCGACCGTGCGCTGTGGTTCTCACGGACACGGCGTTGCGCGTGGGTTCCACGTGGCCTGGCCCACGCCCACGCCCACGCCAACCGAAGGGGCGTTTGTCCCGCGAGGCCCACGGCTGTGGACGGCCACATCCTTCAGGGCATGGCCCAAAAACGTGGGACCGCCCGTGAAATGAAGTTCATTGTGTGTGTGTGTGTTTTACCTCCCAGCTTCTCGAGGCTTCTACCTTTTAGGATACTTGAATCCGGCAGGGAAAGCACTGTGGGAATTCTATAGCCCGGGATACAATATGCAAATCTACCAAAAAGCAAAAAACAACAACAAAAAAAACAACAACAACAACTACAAAAATCAAAGTGAAACCAGGTCCTGAGCAGTGGGCCCGTCGGCTGCTGTGGGGTGAAGGCCTCAGGAGCCTCACCATCGGATACCTCTGTGATGTGAGACCCCCCTCCATCTCTCGGTCCGTGTAGCTCCCGTCCTCCGTGGGGGGCAGCTGTCCGTGTCCCTCAAGAAGGGCCCAGGAGGGTCACGGACAGATGGGTCCCCTGGCGCCGAGAGTGGGTCGCAGGAGGCCCGGTGCATCCTCAGGGCACCAGGCCCCTCCGCCGGCCTCCTGCAGGGAACATCCCTCCCCCGCTACCCGCTGGACGTGCGGCCCGTTTCACCATCGGATGCCAGACGCGAGCTTTCTGGAATGTTCTGTGGTTCCTCCGGTACTCACCCTGCAGGCAGGCAGGCAAGCCATGGGCGGGCGAGACCGAGCTTCTCTGTCTGCAGACACGGTACCCGAGAGGTTCCCGGGTGGAACTTGCCCGTCTGGTTCATTTCGTTCGCGTTAGCGCCGTAGCTGTGTAGGAGGACGGAGCCCTCGGCGGGCCACGGGGCCAGGCGTCGGGAGAAACACACCTTGTGGGTGCGGGGGCGGGCCCCGCGGTGCGCGCACCCCGGAGGCTGCAGTGGCATTCATCTCAAAGGCTGACTGCTACCCCCGGGAGAACCTGGTGTGGACAAGGACTGTGTGTGTGTGGGGGGGAATCTTTAAACAACAAATGTACGCAAATAGGAACGTGGGATGGACTATGCATTACCGTAAAGTGCCCGACAATGCAGCGATGAAATAAAATCGGTTGGATAGCCGACCTCCGCATGGCGGTGTGTGGCTCTTCTCTCGTCAGCGGGCAGGCGACCCCGTGGTTTCTGTCAGGGACCAAGGGGAGGTCCCAGCTTCGCTTCCCTGCAGACGTGAACGTCATCCGGGTGCGTGGGGGTCACCTCAGAGGGTGAGGGTCTACAGTCGTGGGACAGGCACACAGAGTGTTCCTGTGTGTCTCAGGCCTGGCCGGCATGGCTCCGTGGTGGAGTGTCGGCCTAGGAACCAGGAGGTCACGGTTCGATTCCCTGGTCAGGGCACAGGCCCGGGTTGTGGGCTCCATCTCCAGGGTGGGGCATGCAGAGGGCAGCCGGTCCATGAGTCTCTCTCATCATGGATGTTTCTCTCTCTCTCTCTCTGCCTTCCTCTCTGACATCAATAAAAAATATATTTTTTTAAATAAAAAAAGAAGCATCCATGGTGAGAGGGAATCATGGATCAGCTGGCCCTCCGCACAGCCCACACTGGGGATCGAGCCTGCAAACCCAGGCATGACCAGGAGTCGAACCCTGACTTCCTGGTTCATAGGTTGATGCTCAACCCCTGAGCCATGCTGGCCTGGCAACTGCATGTTTTTTGTTTTTGTTTGTTTTAATATATTGACTTCAGAGAGGAAGGGAGAGGAAAAGAGAGAGAGACATCCATGACGAGAGAGAACCAGGGATGGGCTGCCTCCTGCACACCCCCTACTGGGGATGGAGCCCACAACCCGGGCCTGTGCCCTTGAGCAGAATCAAACCTGGGACCCTTCCAGTCCGCAGGCCGACGCTGTATCCACTGAGCCACACCAGCTGGGACACACCTGCACGTGTTTAGCATCCAAAGCCCCGGGGACTGGGTGTGAAAGCAGCTTTCCTCAGTCAGGTGCTGCCGACAGTTTTATCGACGCTGTTCCCAGATTCCGGGAAGCAGGTGAGGCCAAGCCCTGGGACTGTGGAGAGCCGGCACGGCCATGGCACACTCAGCCCAGGGCGCCTTCTGTGCCACACCAGCTCAGCCAGGTTCGATGAGCCGGAGAGGGGATGGTGAAGGATGAAGAAAAGACCGACGAGAGAAATAAAAGCTGGGTCCGGGTGGGACCCTGTCCTCCCTGATGGAGAGCTAGCGACAGCACCACCAACTACCAGCCGTGTATTTTATAGCCGATGCTACGAGGCACACCATGGGTTTCTAATCTACTCAGTTCCATGCACCTGAGCTCCATCCAGCCCACGTCACTCGGGCACCTGGGGCCACGTGTTCAGACCACAGGTGCCCGCTGACAACCACAGCTGCTGGCTGTCATGGTGGGGGGAGGCTCTGCCCTCCAGGCTGGGACGTGCACGTGGCTTTATTTTCATTGTTTTATCGATTTTTTAGAGAGAGGAAGAGAAAGTTAGCAACGTCGATGAGAGAGAAACAGGCATCAGCTGCCTCCTGCACACCCCCTACTGGGGACGTGCCCGCACCCAAGGTTCTCAGAGAGAGAGAGAGAGAGATGCATGAGCGGCCGGGGGGCCCTCACCACAGACGGGCTTTTCCCCATCAAAAAAAGAAGACAAAATCAATTATATATATATATTTTTAAAAATAAAATAAAATAAAAGAGGAGGTAAGCATATGCCCTAGGAGTCTGTTTCTTTGTGTGTGTGTGTGTGTGTGTGTGTGTGTGGATAGGGGGGAGGGGGAGCGGGTGTTGGTTATTATTCATGTTATCATTTTATTTTTATTGTTTAAAGAATGTCTCCTTTTTCCCCAATTGACCCCCTCACCTCCACCACCACCACCACCACCACGTCTGCCCTTTGAGTAATATATTTTTATTGATTTCAGAGAGGAAGGGAGAGGGAGAGAGAGAAATAGCAGTGATGAGAGAGTCGTTGATCAGCTGCCTTGTGTCGCCCCCTGATGGGAGTGGAGCCTACAACCCAGGCCTGTGCCCTGACCGGGAATCGAACCCTGACCTCCTGGTTCTTAGGTTGATGCTCAACCCCTGAGCCACGCCTATGGTCTGAACACCACCCCCATGTGCCCATGGAGAAACAAAACAGCTAAACCAGTGGTCGGCAAACTCATGAGTCCACAGAGCCAAATACCAACAGCACCACGATGGACATTTCTTTAAAGAGCCACGTTTTTTAAACTTAAACTTTTAAAATATATATATTTATATATTTTTTTTATTGATTTTTACAGAGAGAGGGACAGAGAGCTAGAAACATCGATGGGAGAGAAGCATCCATCAGCTGCCTCCTGCACACCCCCTACCGGGGATGTGCCCGCCACCAAGGTCCATGCCCTTGACCGGGAATCGAACCCGGGACCCTTCAGTCCCCAGGCCGACGCTCTACCCACTGAGCCAAGCCAGCTAGGGAGACCAGAAGACACTGGACCATCCCCAGTGTCCATCCATAACATCCAAACACATTGGACAGCCGTCCCCGAGCCAGCCGCCCCCCTCCCCTGTGCAGAGTCTGCCATCTGGGCAGCGGGTGTGGGGGGGATGATGGGTGGCTGAGCGCTCGGCCCACCCAGGACTCCGGGCCTGGCAGCCCCTCACTGGTCCCACTCGGCGGCGCAGGCCTAATCAGAGCGCCCTCCTCCCGCCCAGGAGCCCGCGCCAACGAAGGAGACGAAGGCGGCCCAGCTGTGCTCCGCATCCGACCGGAGAAGCAGCTGTTTTTCTGGGGAGAGACCTCCTTCCCCTCTTTATCTTGGCCCCGTCCCACCCACCACCGAGGCCCTTCCAGCTGGAGCCGAGCCTTCAGCCAGCGGCCCCTGCATGCGACCGTTACCTCCTGGGGCGTGGGCGAGGAAGCATGGC